ATAGGGTTAGTCAAAAAGGCCTTTTGTACAATAAAAAAAAAGATCAAAATTCATTCTCCTTACTTCCTTCGCATCAACAATTCATAAATATTGCCTGCTCATGCCTACTGTTTGAACATGTTTTAGCATTCAAAGCCTTCATGGAGAAGGATGGGGTGGTTGTTCCTGTACTAAGTGATCCCAAATGGCTCATGGATTTGGTTTTTCTTGTTGACATTACACAGAAGCTGAATTTACTCAACAAGAAATTACAAGACCAGGGGCAGCTTGTCAGTGTTGCCAATGACAATGTCAGGGCATTCTGCACAAAACTTGTGTTATGGTTCAGAGAGAAACATTTCCCAACATGCAAATGGACTCTGGCACACTATTCAGTAGTAAGTATACTAATGTCATTGCAAAGCTACAGGAAGAATTTGATCAAGTTTGCAGACTTGAAAACACACAGAGCCACTTTTTTGCGGACTCTTTCTCCTTCAATGTAGAAGATGCCCCGCACCCCCCTTTGAGATTCAAATGGAGCTGATTGATCTTCAGTGCAAGTTCAGGGAGGGGAATTGAGAAAAACATGGACATGGAGAATTTATGAGAGCATTGCCCTCCACCTTTCCCTGAGATGTCCAGGTTCATGTGCCTTTTTGAGAGTACCTATCTATGTGAAAATCTCTTTTACACTATGAACTTTAAAAAGTCAAAGTTCAGGGCCAAACTTACTGACAGCATCTTCAAGCTATACTGAGGGCTGAGGGTCTCAGCTGCTTCCTCACTCAATAAAAATTTTGCTCAACTGTGTAAGAAGAAGCACTGACAGGTCTCTGGCAACAAGGAGGAAGAAAGTGAATGTTTTTATTTGTTATTAATAAAGATTTAGCAGATTGTAACAGTTGTACTTCATTGAATTTGTAATCAATTTTTTGTGGAATACTTGATGCGGCCAAGTCTCAATATCCGAATCTAACCACCCCCCCTCCGGTAATTTGAGTTTCAGACCCCTGCACTACACTTACACAGTAGTCCTAGTACACAGCTTGAACGCAGTCCTTCATTTATTTTTATTATCAAAAAAAAATTATCATTTACATTTACTTGGCCAACTTCAAACACCAAAATCCTCATCAATGGCAATGTCAGTGAATGAGAATTTGTTGAACTTGATACGTCAAATGTTGAAATTAGTGACCTCACATTGCTACTTAACTTTAATACGTGTGCCGAAAGTCGAACATCGAAAGGTAAAGATACCAGGCCAGATAGAGAACCAGACTTACTTGCCTTATTATGCCTTATACTACAATCATTTAATAATTTAATAAATTAATTAAAGCCAAACAATAATTTCATTTACGTGGAGTATGCAAAGTTGGCTTAAAAAGGCATCATAGGTTTCATGGAAACTAATCAACCAATAAGAACCAACAACTGTAAATAAACAATGATAAAAAAACATACTGCTACTGCTGGCTGCTACTGCTACATGGCGTTCACTCACGTCCACGTCAGGTCGTTTTAAGTTAAACAACTAAAATTTACTAATCTAATGTAACTAGTACTAAGTAAATATACGCTTGAATGTTAAAAAAATATTTTTTCCACAAATCATAATTAAATAGAAAATAAATTGAAAAAATACACCAGTCATTAAAATAAGATAATTTTGAATAAATGGAACTTGAATACCGAGACTAGTTCATTTGGGGGGTATTTTTTTAACTATTATTTTAGTGATCTTCGTCTGCTATTTCACGGTAATTGTCAAAGGTCAACTAGTAGCCAATGAAAAATGCGGTACGGTAAGTGAAATTTTGACACATTTTGGCTAAGGCCTACAATTACATGTAGTTAAATAATGTTTACTTCTTGCCTTGTATGAATCTTGTAATTACGACTTGTATGTCAAATCTTATTTATTGTAATACTTTTAAAAGATATTTTGTGCGTGTAGTTTAATAATTCACTCGCTTAATTTAGTCTTCTATTGTTTATCCAATGAAAATGCAAGTTACAATTGAGTTTTTGTGCCACTTGGGAAAAGGGATTGAAAAAAAAAAAAAATTAAATCTTGATGAGCTTCAAACAATAATCTTCAGAACTAAACCAGGGAGAAAAGACGCAATACAATTTCATTTAATATATATATATATATACAGTGCATTTTTTGTAAAAAAAAATAGGTGCCGGTACTCAAGGATGGATTGCCTAACTTTTAACTACCAGGAAAGCAGTTTCGCATTTTATATTTTAATTCTTATTTGTAATAATTTTTATGTTAAAATAGCATGAAATGCGTATTTCTTGAATGTGTTGTTCACGATTCCTCTCCCTAGGAGCGCTAGTATGCTGTTACCAAGCCTTGTTTTATGTATAGCCTTGCTGAGATCAACAGGAGTTTTCAAAGTACAACCATATGATATTTATTGTCCATCTTTGCAGACCAGCTTACTTGATCGAATTTGCAAAGTATGTCACTTATACTTTGCCTCACAAACAATGTCGAAGAAATATGCAGGACAACACAGAGCTCGGGCTGGGAAGAATGTGCCAACCCAAACTGTTCCAGGATCAACGCAGATAAAACGCACCCGTCCTTTGAGAATCGCTGCTAGAAGGCAAAGGGAACTCATGGCAGTTATTGCCAGAAGAGAAAATGCACATTCAGAGGATGTTGAGTGGCTAGATGAGGATGAAGTTGATCTGTCTGCAATTATTCTTCCAGGAAACGATGATGGTGAAAGATTGATGCCAGTCGTAACTATGGATTAACACTTCACTTCACCATGGATGGATGGTGTCCAGTGAATATTTTTGAATTAAACATAATTCACAGGCCCATAATAAACAGATTCAATATAGCACAAAAGTTTGTCACATAATTTGTCAATATAGTCTTTTTTTAGTCAAATTGATTTGTTTCCTTTTTAATTATTTAATCACAGGGTGGGGTCAAGTTTCGCTAATCTACTTCTTAACTGTGTAGAAAAGATTGCATAATCGGAAATTATCTAAAACTTGACCTCACATTTTGTAAATGAAAAAGCAGCAGATAAATGATGTGTATTATATAATTGTCTAGTCTAATTTTTTTCAATTTTTGTTTTCAAATTCAATCTAGATTGAGTTACTGCATTTATGTTTAACTTTAACTGTGACAACTGTTGACAATTAACTATTCTACTATTAAAGTCATTTTAATAATGTGATTGTTCTTTTAAGTGGAAATTTAATATTTTAATACAGTTTAATAGTGAAGTGTGTTTTAGATTAAATTTTAATAGGTGTTATTTTATTTTTTAAATTTGGTTCGAAAGCGTGACGTACTTTAGGTGGGAGGGGGGGGGGGTGTTTCCCGAGATTTTGACAGGGGGGGGGGGAATGGTTACAAATAGTGTGACGTACTCTATGGACGGCTCCTATGCTAACTATTTAAAGTTGAAGGGTGAATAAAAATATATAACATAGGATAGAGTTGGGTTACATTTTTTTCGAGAAATCTTTGGATAGACCGGTTCTTCTATCAACTGATATAATGTAAGTCAAATATTCGAGTAGACTACAATAAAAAAAAGAAAGAAAGAAAGAACTGTTTCTCTAAAATATGTATTTGGGAACGATATGAAAAATAATTTTTACACTCCTTAAGCTCATACCACATGACAACACAATCACAAGGTGCTTCAGAGAACATAATTTATTTTAACGTTATTAACTGTCTCGGGTTGCATGAGTAGCACAGGTCTGTGGGGGCCATCCACAAATGGCGTCACGCATCTAAATGGGGGGGGGGCACATTTTTGTGATTGGGGAGGGGGGCTTAAGCAATGTGACGTCACATGAAAAGCGGAATATTGTAGTAAAGAATTGCACTTAATAACCCTAAATTACAGACATTTTTAACTTATTCAATTAATTTTGTTATACAACAATTAAAATTATTTTATTTTTCAACTACGATCATTGAGAAAATCAGTACAGGTATGTTCGGGCTGAAATTCGGCATCTGATCAAGTTACAGGCCGCCACTGAGGATAAGAAAATGGGTGTAGTGACATTGACAGTCTAGAGAATTTATGCCAAGATGTGGAGATGGGAGTCATAGAATTAGAACTACCTCGGGAAATGGGATGGAACGAAAACAAAAGGTTGGCCGTGGGGAGGGGGGTGGTGTATCTTAGTATATGCTCCAGGGCAGGGATTCTTTTTGCAGCGATGCAGGCCCAATCCATTTTAAATATCCCCCCCCCCACGCCCCCTAAACCGTATAAATTATGTTGAAATAAAATTTAAAATATGAAAATAATTAAATAATTTAGTTATTGTAGTTTTTTTCCCTTTAATTAACTTTTTATAAACAAGGGAAAAAATTACCAATAAAAGTAATGTGCAAACAAAATTCACCAGAAAACATTTACTGCTGCTAACCAAAATGCATAAAAACTTATTATTTTATTTTTTAATGCAGCAACAGCTAGCAATCAATGGCAGCAAATACAATTTTCTGGTCTTCCGCACCTTAGGGCTGGGGATGTACTTTTACCCCTGCCCCTGGTTAAGAACCACTGTTTTAGTGAAATGTCTGACACAGATGCAGCAATTTGATATCCATGGGAGGGGAATTTCTTAAGGGTTTGTAAAGGACAGAAGTAGAAACAGGGAATATTTATTTAAGGTGTGCAGAGATTTGTGACGTTACAGTTGAGGGGGAGTCAACTTTTTGTGACGATTTGTGACCAAGTGGGGGAATGGGGGGGGGGGTGGTGAGTAAAAAAATCAGCTAAATTTGCGTGACGTCATTATGTATGGCCCCCCTCTGTCTTTTCATTATTCTGTTTAATATATATATAAACCTATATATATAACTAATCTTGAATATTTTTTTGATAAATAAAAGGATTATATAATAGTAAAAATAATAATTCAAGGCATACTTTTTTTTTTAGAAACGTGATTATACTGTTAACTATGAAACACTTTTCTTTCCTGGCATCTAAACATCCGTAAACAATATGGCGGCTTCCGAACTCGCAAGACGCGGATGGTACGTGACACGTTTTTTCCCCAATATAAACCTATTGTAAAAGTTTGCATCTAATATGATTTTCACCCAGATAGAACTTAATTATGTTATTTTATACTTATTGTTGATGCAAATGTTAAGAGAACTTCTGTATTTATAAATGTCGGTTTTCTTTCATCAACAATAACAGAAATCTACCTGACTGAAACTGAATGAGTCAACCTCTCTCCACTGTATCTCTAGTCTAGAACCAGACTCAAACTACTTTAGCATATTTTAGTGACCTAAATTAAACCACACTCACCGGCCGATAATATTTTTGCGTCTTTTTATTTGTTAAGATAGTATTAGTTGACACTAACAGTAACACTAAATTGTACAGCCCTAACTTTTCATTTTATTGATTTTTACAGCCCTCATTGGTACATGACAGACATAGCCGATAATGTAAACAATCTCTCCATTTTCTTGTTTTTTATATTTACCCTACATGCCAGATTGCAATTTTTCGTCTGAAAGCATATTCACACAAAAAAAAACAAAGAAGAAATTAGATTTATAATAAATAATACCAAAATTATTTATTTGATGCTTAACTTTTCAAACTAAAAGCATGTTGACAAAATAAATTTACATGAAATTGGCGTGTATATTGCAGACCTGTTTACTCTTACGATTTTGACATACAATTTACGATTTTGAGGTGTATACATTATATATACTGTATGTTTATTTTTCATTATAAATGTAACGTATTATTGAACGATTTTGTGAAGATATTGTACGATTTTAAAAGTTTGAGCGTAAACAGGTCTGATATTGGCAAGTTTTAGAAAAAAATAAAATTATGAGTACCGGTTTTCGAATATGGATAATCAAGTGTACTTGTTATTATTTTGATCTCGTTCCATTCACCCATGCCCATGCAGGAGCATTTGTTTGGAATTATATTTATACACCCCATATAAGAAAAAAAAAGAATTTTGGGCCCCTATAAAATAATGGAACATCTAATTAAGTTCAAACACACAACCACCCCCCCCCCCCCCCCCTCCTCTCATTCTTTTTGTGAATATTTTGAAAATTTCGTTTAGCATACCAAGTTATAGGTGATCAAAAATCTGGCAACAGGTTGAAATAATACAAAGCAAATGGAGCTATGGAAGGTTTGGGGGATGTTCAAAGACATTTTAAAAATAAAATAAAACAAAACTAAGCCCTGTATAATTCATTATTAGTTACCTATCACTGCCTGGATTTAATAAATGAAGAATACACATAAGTTTACATGCGATAATACGAATTTCAATCAGAAATAATATACGCACCTGAACTGCAAGATTACCATATAAGATAGCCATTGTTAAGTGAAATAATAATACTTTCTTATGCCTTTTACCCCATCTGGGGCATTGGTCAGCAACAAGAATTTTCCAGTCCAATCATCTTGATCCTGCTCTTTCCTGTCCTGTTGCTTCCAGGTTTATCCCATAGTTTGTGTGTCTGCCTCTAGCTCGAATCTCTATGTATTCTTAGGCCTTCCTCTCTTTCTTTTTCCCTGTGGATTCCATGTTAGGGATTGTCTGGTGATGTTATCTGGGGGTTTGCGAAAAGTGTGCCCTATCCATCTCCATCTTGACTAGTTTTTCTAGTACCCCATAATGCCGGAGAAGTTTCCACAAGGTCTGTTGGTCCAGGCTATCAAAAGCTATTTCATAGTCAATAAAATTTAGATATATGGGGGGACTTCCATTCCATGTACTGTTCTACAATGATTCATAGTGTTGCAGTTTGATCTGTGCATGATCTGTTTTGGGCGAAAGCAGCCTGTTGATCTCATAGTTATGTGTCAACATGATCCTTCATTCTATTCAAAACAATGCTGTTAAGGGGGGATATAACACCTTTTACGCCGTTTAAAGACCTTTCCTTGTACAGACTGCAGTGTAATTCCTCTATAACCCTTAGGAAAATGTATTAAAAAAATTGTTGAAAATTTTTCAACTTTGTATTCCCAACAACTTTATTTTAACTTAACAAGATATAATTACAGTGATTCTAAAATTTAAAATGTAGCTTTGGACCCCAATTTAAAATGTTTAAAAATTGTCTTTAAAAATATTTTCAACACCCGGTACGTTACATATTTTTCCTAACAGAAAGTGGATATAGTACAAAATATTAAAGAAATGACAAAATTTTGAAATTTTACTATGTATAAAAAATATAATAATTAATTGAAATGGAAATAAATTATTTCAGGTTGAAAAGTGACAAGATCCCCCAAATTTTACTGATTTTCTTTAACCGAACATTCCCTGCTCCCATAACAATACTTATCAAAGGGCTGAGAAAAACAGTACGCTTTACCAAAGCTAGTGATGCTAACAATATTTCATTTAATTGTACAAAAAATTTATATGTGGATGTTCTGTACAGTCTGCACTCCTAGTGACACTACTGCTTATGCTCAAAAGTCAATAGATGCTAAATGTTTTAAAAATTGCTCACGATGAGGCAATCAGAAATTAATTATTTAACCCCAAAAATAGCATCCAAATTTTTTCTGATTTAAAAAAGCCCCACTTTTGATATTGTATGAAGATGAAACATCATTTCTACAAATTGTGAATTTTTTTCAAACTAATCGTTTTGTGCCATAATGAGGATTTATTCATTTATTTTACTGCATCATTTTGAACTTTTATATTTCTAATTGTATTGTCAATATAAATGGATTCAAAAAAGCATTTTCTTATTAAAAAGTCTTAAGATTTTCTTCCTTTCAAATAGGGGAGAACAGTGGCGGAAATGTATATATTTTGGGGTAACGCTAAAAAAGTTTGCTGACCCCTGCTTTAAGGCATTAAATTTCTTTAGCTTTCTTCTTCATCAACTAGTCCTAAATAATAATAATTTTTTTTTGCCAAAAGTAACCTCCTTTTGGCTTTCTTAGAGACTTGAAATTTTACAGAATTATATTTAATACATTTTTAAAGGTACACCGGGTTGATTTATAATTGGACAAAAAGTAATTTTTAAACATGTATATATTAGTTATACCTCATCTCTTCCCTTTTTTTAAAAACGACATACAAAAATTGCTCAAAATAAAATAAATGTTGTTAAAAGCCTGTTGATTAATTTAACTAGTATAGTGATTCGTTTGTTGATCCCATGTTTTTAGCGCAAAAAAATTTATTGTTTGTGAATTCTACCATCTCAAAACCCTAATGTCTCACTTTTGTAAAAAAAATAGTCTTATATCCAAGTTCCTTTTGTTAGACAATTGGCATTAATTGGAAGAGCAATTATTTCTTTGTTTTGTTGTTTTCCAATCATTTTTAAAACTTTTTATATTTTTAAAAATGTTAAAAGGAATACTTGTTCTATAACCGGTTGCTGATGATGCCATGTTTTCAGGATTTTGCCACTTTATTTCACTTTACCCCCATTATCAGACCAAAAGAAATACCCATACTTAAGAATTTTTTTTAAAAAAGAGAAAAATTGTCCTGACACTTCACTCAAAAGTGAAAAAAATGCACCAATTTCACAATTTTCCATATAAGTAACTATAACTTAACATTTTCTGAGAGAATATTGCTTCTTGTATATCAACAAATTTTTATGATAGTTTTATGATAGTTTGAACAATTTATGGAGCATTTAGGCTTAAAGTGGGTTGAATTCAGAAGTTGAGTACTAAAGATTTTACTCACTGTGTAAAGGTCAAGATCAATATCAACATACATAATTAAAAAAAAACAAATTCTTTTCATACCATAAGATACCTTGTCCAATTTACTTTCAGAAAATTTATACTTGTAAGGTGCTCTGAATTCATTTAGTTTAGGACTTTTGTCATTTTTGACAAGCATATGAAATTGCTAAAAAAAATTGCTTGACACTATAGAAAATTGTTCTTGACAGTTACAGGGTTAATGATTATCTTTTTAAAAAAACTGTCGTCAGGATTAAAGCGATGCAATACTAGTAGTGTAATTTTTCATTTTAAAAGTAAAAATTTTAAGACAAAAAATTCATTTTTCAATAAAGTAAAATTTCTTTAAGACTAAAAAAGAAAGGTTTTTGTCCGATTTTTTTTAATGCTGCAGTGCAGCTGAGGTGCCTATTTCTGTTTCACTATAATTAAAACTGTTGATATACATAATACTTTTTGTGGTATATTCTTAAATGATTGTATTTGTACAAGACAGTAAAATTATGGTTTATTTTGACAACCGAAATGGGAGGTAATATGCAGGCAAAATCTTTCTTTATTTAGGTACATAAAGGAAGATGCTATCAGTGCAATCACAGATGATGCTAAATCTTCAACTGACAGCTGTGTAAAAAAGGCTTTGAATGTAAGTTCATTTTCTTAAAAAATTACTTGATATATGAAATATAGGCTTATCATAACATAAAGGATCTTGAGAATAGGCAGGATTTGCGGTTGGGTGGGGGGGGTTGAATAGACTGACAATGCTGTGTGGCACTTTTGTGACTGTTTATAATCATTATAATATACAATTATATATGTGTTTGAGACACAATATTAGGAGTTCTCCCCAATGACATTTAGTGCCACATCATGTTTTTTTGGATATTAGGGGTGAGAAAGATTATTCATACTTTCATATTTCTCACTAGTGTCTATTTTCTAAGATATGTCTTTATTTTTTTTGTCCTAAAACTTTCAACAGCCTAGTAATAGGATATTTATTATAGTCATGAAAAGATTACTGACTGTAAATTTTAGCATAATTTTCTATCTTGACATATATTGGTTGTGGTCAAAGTTTATATTGAGAACATTTAGCCCATGCCTCATATTAAAAGACCTCAACTTTACACTTGGACTTCATATATAAATACATGTTGGGTAATTCAAGCTGAAAGTCTTTACATATAAATTTTAATTATTTACATTAAAAATAAAATTTGATACCTATTAAATTCTGATGTCAATGTGTATGAGAATATATAAAATTCTTCTTCTTTTTCTTAGCCTCCAAATAGAGCATAGGCATCCACCATACTTTTCCATCTGTCCTTGTTCTAAGCTATCTTTGCTAGTTCAGCCCAACTTTTCTTCATTCTCTTCACCTCTGCCTCTAATCCCTTCTTACATGTGGCTCTTGGTCTTTCTCTTTTTCTAGTACCTTGAGGGTTCCAATTCAGGGCCTGTCTTTTGATGTTAGTGTTTGGTTTCCTTAAAGTGTGCCCTATCCATCTCCATTTTCTCTTTTGTTTCTCCGTTTCAACTGGAAATCTAACATAATAAGGTGAATTTTATTTTTAAAATTGTGATTGAAACTTTGACAGAATTTTCAACTGGCTGGGACACAGGATAACATTACCAAACCTGATAAAACTGGGATATGTTATAAGCTTTTAAGGTTTCCTCATTTGTCTATATAAATTTCTTTATTTTTATTGAAATCTTTTATTTACAAAATATGCATAACATTTCTTATAGTTTGATTTGCGTGAAATAGGCGCACCAAAGGTGAATGAAGATATAAACAGAGGTAGATTAGACTATGTAAGTATAATATGAATTTTACTTATAGATTTGTTGACTAGTTATTGGTATGATGTCTATAACTTATGTAAAGATTTATTAGGATCTTTTTCTTTGTTATAAAGTTATATAACTTTTCAAATTGTATCTTTCTTTTAGAATTATGTTCACAATTTCTCATTTCTTCTAATTTCATTTTCTTGGCATTAGGTTGAAGGTCCATTAGTTTTACAGCTACAAAAACTTCGTGTTATCTCAGCTCCTAAAGACAATGAAGAGTCTCAAGCTGCACCAAAGCTGTGCAGGCTTTCTCTAACAGATGGCCATGTTACATGCTCAGCTGTGACATTAGAGCCAATCAAGGGATTAGGGTAAGTGTTGTCATTTTTTTTGCTATAAATTCTTTAAACGTTTCTTTTGTCTCTAAATTTCACTCATGTAGTCCTGTTTGGTCTGATATGGCCCTTTGGTATGGACAGTGGTGAATGGTACGTTGTCTAGAGGTCAGTCCCCTGTGTATCGCCACAGAAACAAATATAAGTGTCTAGAACACATTTCTTTCTAGCCCTTACAGAGCTGATGTGTTGGAGGTTTCAAGTAACAAAACAAATTGTGAAAAGATTCTGGTTTGTTATGATTTATTGGCTTCTTATGCATGAGAAAAAATCTCTGGGGTTCAGAATTCATACACATACTATAACAAAATTTAGTATATAACTCAAAGGGAAAATGTAAAATTCCTCTTCCATCCACAGCAATTTAACTCTGTCAACACAACAAATCATTTCACAGACTTGTTTCCTTGCATAGTTTTTACCAACACACTGCCATGGTCATATGTGGCTGAGACAATGCGTGGGACTCAATGGGAAAATCAAAAGGAAAAACCATTCTCGCTCACTCAACCTGATCAAAACAGACAGAACAACAAAATCATGCAGTCTGATCGTGACAAGTCTCACTATGTAGCTCTCCCTTCTTTCTTTCTTTCTTCTTTTTTCTATCTTTTCCTTGTGTGTGATGACAGTGACAAGTTATGATAATTATCTAAACTGGGAGAATAATCTATACTAATTAGGGGTGTGCCGGAATCCGGTTCCGCCGGATTTTGCACTATCCGGGGAAATCCGGTTCTGCCGGATTTCATGTATCCAGAACAACCGGATTCCGGAATCGGAATCCGGAATATACCGGATTTCGGAATTTGCCAGATTTTTGTGACTCACCGGATCATAATCTGAAATAAAAGTAATTCTCTTTCCCGAATTCCACACGATCACGATACATTAATCGATTGTTTCGAGCGTTGAGCTTGTTTAATGTTTAATATTCCGTACATACCAGAGGCTAGAGTCAGCACCGCTAATAGTGGCCAATAGTGTAGGGACTTTGATAAGAAAATTTAAACTTTTTGTAAAAATAAACCAATGGCATAGTTGAAAAGATGTAATTTTTTAAAGAATTATAACACCAAAATCATATTTTTAGCTGTTGTAGTTTTAAAGTTATGAATTTTTAAAGTACGACTTGGTTTGTCATTTTTTAACATGGACTGCATCTCCACATTCTGTGATCTCATTCCGCCAATCCCGTCATGCGCAATGACTATATAGTTTATATAAGGCAACGCATTCCCTGCCTTATCACTAAAATACTGTTTAGACTTAGTTTAAACTTTCAACTTTGGCACATGAATAATTAATTAAAGCTTTCCCTGACCAATGGTTTAATAGTTTTTGCACACGGCAAACTCTTATGAATGAAACTCTGAGGTAGTACTACGATACAGTTATGCAAGTGGCTGTGAATGGTTGCCAATGACAACGTGTTGCACACGGTAAATTCTGATCATTTATAATATGGATTCTACCGGGTTGTTAAAGCTCAAATTAAAACATTCCAGTTTAAATGTCTTTAAATGCATTCTGAAACACAAGTTATCAATTATTTTGATGTAAATAGTGATAATAAATTAATATTTCCTAAGTATCGTCAACTTCCGCCATTAAAAAGGGGGGCGTGGCCAACCCCATGGCGAAATTAGGTTGAGCGAGCTGCATAACCTGCTGCGAACGCGTAGAAACATGGCGTCTCTCGTAAGACACTTATCCAAATGGAACGGAACTCAAATATATATCGAAAGTACTAATTTAATAATAAATAGACACACACATCGGAAAATTAAAAACTCTGATTTTTTGGCGCCGATTGCGAATTCCCATACACAAAAAGTAGTAGTCCACCTTGACTTACCGAAGTATCTACCAATAGTACCAAAATCCGGAATCCGGGAGAAACCGGAATCCGGATTATTCCGGAATCCGAATCCGGATCCGGCGGATTTCGCATAAGAAAATCCGGATCCGGTTGGGAAAAACGGATCCGGCACACCCCTAATACTAATTGAAATTCCATTTCCTCCTATATTTAACTTGCCCATCAGAGTCAGATTTTGAGCCAAAAAAAAATTCATATAATATATGATCAAGATTTACGTGATCTTTTTACATGACATGTTCAAAATTGTCAGCCTCAGTGCCTCAGCAAGCCCTGTTTCAATTGTCACATCAATTAAGTAGTCCTCTTGAATTTTCTAGCATTAAAATAAAACTGTTTGATTCATTGATTTTCTTAAAATTCCTTTCATCATAGTCGCTTATTTTCCTACAGTGTCAGCACTCCTCCTGGCAGTAAGATTCTTTTATCAGGAACTGTAGAAGTAGAGACAAACTTTTTATTGTTAACAAACAAAAATACCAGCTTACTTGGGGGCAGGGTGGATGCTTTGGCCGATTCATGGGAGCTGAAAAAGGTATTTATAAGCTACCATGTAATTGTTGTTAACAGTAATGCCTTGCATCTGTTTATAGACAACTTTTTTTTCCCCATCAAAATTAATATCTAAGTAAGCAGAAAGGACTTTGATGTTAAAAAATCATGTTTGTTTGTAAGATCGATTATGGCTTTTATCAAAATTGTTTTAAAAGTATAATCATGCTAAGAAAGTCTAATAGAGTTTGCCTTTAAGACTACTAGCAGTGTCCTTTGTGTTCACAGACTTTAGCACAACAGTCTTTGACAAGATCAAGTGCAAGAGGAGAGGGGGGGCCTCCACCTTTTGTACCATTTGGAAAGAAAATAGCAAATGATCCATTGCCACCTCCTAGAAAAGGTAATAAATATAGAGATTTCGGTGAATTCAAATAAATCATTTAGGATCCTTCATTGCACGCATTTAAAACATTTATTATAGTCACAAAAACAATGTTAAAAGTCTTATTTTTTAAATAAATCACATATTTTATTAAATGAAGAAAAATCAGATTATCAGTTTAAACCTGATTTATTGTTACAGATAATTTTAAATCTTTGGGAACTCCAAAAGAAAAGAAACTTACTGAAGAAGATAGTGAGTTTCAGCAACAAAGGCAAGCAGCACTTAACCAAGCCTTACAGGCTAAGTCAACTAGCGGAGGAGTAAAGACTTTTGGTGGAGGCAAATTTGTAAGTGATTGTTTGATCAATTAACTTATAACAGGACCAAAAATAGAAGGAAATTATTATACAGTGGATACATTTAATATTGATAACATGAAGGATAAAAGAACAAACAAAGAGAATGGTTGTATTACTGCAATGCTCTCATGGTGGGTCTTCCAGCTACGCTCCTGGATAAAATTAAAAAAGTACAGAATAATGCGGCTCGCATTGTTTTTCGCAAACGCAAATTTGACCATGCTAAAACACTTCTGAGAGAGTTGCATCGGCTGCCGGTCTGCAGTCGCATAGAGTACAAAATTGCAAAATTGCTACCGCTGCTTGCATGACCTGGCGCTGTCCTATCTCAAAGCGCTCATGATGCCTTATTTACCCACTAGACAACTCCGCTCATCCCATAGTGGTAAACTCTTGATACCATGTGTTTACCTGGAAGGCGCACGTTCGCATTTGCTGGCCCAACAATTTGGAACATACTTCCTGTTGCTCTCAGAAACAGCCAGACACTGGAGACTTTCAAAACCAATTTGAAAACACATCTTTTTCGCAAACACCTATTGGGTGATGTTGTGTACCATCATTTCCAGCTAGCTATTATCTCCTAGATGTATAGTGGCCTGTGTTGTTTATGGTTGCAAGGGATAAAAGACTTAGAATGGATATTCTCATATGTAGTTTTTGTAATGTTGCGTTTTGTATTTCAATGTGGTATAATATAAATTTTTTCATTTCTCTTTTAATATTGATGACTTCGAGCCTTTGGGGATGAAGCGTGATTTTCAAATAAGCTTTATTTTTATTATTATTATTATTATTACTTATAGTTTGTCAGTATATTTTTATAGCCTTTAAAATGATGCATCATGGATTTCAAATCTTTAGCTGATGGTCTTATTAGAGATGAAATTGTTGTAAAAGTTGTATAACTCATTAGTTTGATGAAGAGAAGATCCTGAATATTTCAGCTTGTGAATGACAAGGATGTGGCCAGAATCACGGAGATGGGGTTCTCTGTGGATGAAGCAACATCAGCTCTTAAAGCTGCCAGTGGCAATGTCAGTGATGCTATTAACTCACTACTTTCTGGAGGACAAAGGTATCATAGGGCAGGAGATCGAGCCAGAGGGGGTAAGATTATAATTTTGATTGAAATCTGCCTGTAGTTTCTGAAGATTTGTAGGTTGTTGATTGGTTCCTCTACTTTTTTTTAAACAAAAATTTCTCAATTTTATGACAGTTAATGTGTTCCGGTCTTAAAAATTTAGGTGGCCTTAAACTGCTATACCTTTTTCAGTCAACATGTTTAAGGTCTTTAAGTTGGGTTTTAAAACCACATTTTTTTTACTGCAGGCTTTTGAACAGCCATCTTGGGCCAGTTTCTACTTCAAATGAAAAGTACACAAGTTTGCCATAACAATGCGAGTGATGAATGATATTTTTTCTACACAATCTGTATAAAACATATGCTCATCTACAGGTCGAGGTGGAATAAGTGAGGGTCGAGGGGATGGCAGGCGAAGAGGAAGAGACAGAGATTATGATGATGACGCTGAGGGTCCCATCAGCACAAAACCAAGTGGACCTGCTACACTCTTTGATTTCCTTGAAACTAAGATACCAACCAAGGAAGGTGGGTTTATTAATATTGTAAGACTCTTGTAATTTTTATTTTTTTATGTCCTCATACATCAACATTACCTAAAAAAATATAAAGACAGTAAAAAAAAAATACTTTGCCAAAAATAATCCTTATCAATGTAGTGGCACTTTATCGCAAACATCAAATTAGAAACTTCAGCCTTTTCTTGTCTCTCAACAGATGCTAAAAAATTAGTTATGAAGTCTGCTGAAACAAAGCCACTTTCTTCAACATCTTCATCTTTATCAAATGAATCAACAATCAAGTTCAACAGAGATAATAACAGACCACAGCAGAGGAGACCAGATAACCCTCCATTGACACAGAGTGCTCAGAATCAATTTCATAGAACCAATTTTCAAAATAAAGAGAACACACGTGGGGGCTATCAAAGCAACCAAGATTCAAATAATGGAGAGAAGGGTATTCAAATGGATGATGGTTCCAATCACTGGGGACAGCAGACTCAGCAACAAAATGTACCACCCCGATTTGCTAAACTGGGACGAGGGGATGGGCCCAAGGGCCGAAATGATGTGGGAAGTGGGTACAGGGGTGGAGGGAGATTTGATGGTGGAGGAGGCCATGACAATAAACCTGGCTCACTTTCGAATGAAAATAGACCTTTGTTTAAGGAGAACAATCAAGGACCCAGAGGGCGGGGATTAGCTAACTCTTTTGGGGAGTCACAAGACTCCAGATCATCAGATTATCGACCTGGGGATAAACCTCTTGATGCTCAAACTGAGCAAAGAACTTATAATGACCAGCGTAATAGTGATTACAAGAAGCGCACTATGAACCAAGGAGATTTAAGTAAAAACAATTTTGTGGATCAGAGTGGAGGGAGAAGGAATGGAGGCTACCAGCAGAATAACTCTCAGCCTGGTTACAATGACAGAACCTCGACTCGCAATGGTAGCTATGACTATGACAACAGAGGGGGTGCAGCAAGGTCCTACAAAGGGCAGCCCAACAATAAACCATTTAGCCAGCAGCAGCCTTCCTTGATGCCAACACCATATCCTCAGCAGCATGGAGCTCAGTTTCCATTGGGGTCTGGAAAACAAGGATTCGACGGTCAACAGGTGAATTTAGACTCTTTTTGTAAATCAGGGTATAATTTTTTGAGCACACATTTTTGTCTGTCACAATTTGAACTTTCAAGGTTTTATTAAGGAAAAAAACTTCACAATCTTTTTAGTTGATTCTGTGTTTCATGACAATGTTATATTTTAAAATTGCATTATATGGTTCAGGGTATCTAAAGGTTGACATTTCTGTCGGTTTGAAGTATTTTGGTGTTACTTGTTAATTCCGGCTATGAGTTCTCAAATAAGCACTGAGGGGGATGGGGTGTCTTAGCGTAAGATGCGTTATGTGTTGATATGTTCATGCACATTCTGCAATATTTATTCTGAAATTCTGACAGTCCTTTTAATTGTATCTCTAATAAAACCGTCGACTAAAAAATATGAAATCCATGATCTATCAGTTTCGAAGGCTACAAAAATATACTGACAAACTTTTTAAAATGATCAGCTGTGACTTTTTAAAATTTCCTTGTACATCACAACGGTTTGTAATTTAATTGAAACATATAGCAGTGTTGGAATTCTCGTTTGTACATATGCATAAGGTGTGTCAAATAATGTACAAGTGCATCAGGGTGAGGGGGTATGAAAATTTGACTTTTTTGCATACATAATATATGGATGGCTTCTAACTGGTGGTAACTTGGAAAAGTTTGGGTGAACAAAATACTTACCCAACCTTATCCTCAGAAATTTATGACATTGTCCTCATTGCTGCTCGAAATGACATTGTTAGGCTAATTTTACTCATTTGCGACAGTTCAGAAACTTTTTATTTCACTATCCCATTATGAATAACATATATCAAGGATATTTAATCTGCTTGTAAAGGACTGTTCTTAGGCCCTTCCATTTCCCAATTTAGTGTTTCATCTCTATAAATCTTAAAAATTTGCTATGTATTATAACACTCTTTTTGAAAGAGAGCCCAACAGCACTGACTCTAGGATTCTCTAAACTTTTCAGTATTCATGAACAATTATTTTAAAAAAAGTGCCTTTTGTCCAAAATAATCTCAGATTCTATATGTATTTCACAGTTTCCTATGAATGGTGGATTTTTGCCTGCAGTTGGAGATACTTGCCTGGCCAAATACTGGGAGGATGAAGAGGTGGGTATTTATGCAATTAATAAGTAATGTAGTCTTTCCATGTTTTTTGTTACAAGTATTTATTTATTAAAAGAATTTTAAGGCCATTATATTAGTAACAGTTAAAGGATGAATACAATTAGAAATTAAAAATTGTATAAACTTAAACTTAATGCCATATGATTGTGCAATTTCTCCTTGTAGATCATACATGAAAAGATAGATATTAATTTTTAAATTTTTTCTTGTAATTATTTATTCTTACAGTTCTACCCAGCAGTTATAGAAGCGATTTCACCAGATGGCAGCACGGTGGTTGTGACATATTTAGATTTCGGGAATCAAGAAGAAGTATTCTATACTGATGTGCAGCCTTTACAAAGATTGGTAAGTCTGGCCCCCAAAATTATTTGCAATGGAGCTAAGAATTCCAAGTAAATCGATTTGAAAAGTTAAGTTTTATCAAGGATCCAAAAGATGGTCTAGCAAGACTAGGCTAAAAGGATTCTCTAAAATGATAAAATTTTCAGATTATGCTTTTGATAATATATTGACACTGTTTTATAGCTTGAATGTTGACCTAATTAATGTTCACCACAAGCCGTGGTATTCAACCTTACCCCACACCCTTCTTTTGTGTGTTGATATTAATGTCACTGATCAAATGTGTAGCGCCAATCCTTTTAACCCATCCCTCCCTTGATTGGGAAAAGGTTGTTTACATTTGAATACATTCTAATTTGTTTTAAAGAATGGTATCAGGTGACAATTTCTAGAATTTCTTTTTTGGATGGTTCCAACTTTCTCCCTGTAAATAAGGCGGCCCAGAGGGGGGTCTATTTTTACTAGATGTTTAGGAGATGTAATATACTTACACAATTAATGCTTGCATCTTTTGAGGATTGCACTTTTTCACTTGCTGTGCTGTAACTTGGCATAGTTTTTATTACTGTCTATTTGATTTTGTATTCTTTACATAAATTTAATGGTATATTAAACTGAATATTAATATCACTAGCTTTGGTATCGTTTTTTTTTTTTAAACTGGTTTTCAGGTTTTCAGCTAAAAAATCTAATGTTCATCTAACAAGCCAAATCTTAAAATAGATAAAATGTATAAAACCATATGAAAGTGCATAACAGACTTTTTATTTGTTAGAATAGATCATAATCTTTGTAAATAAAAAAATCATCTGTTGTGCTAAGCAAAAAAAAAAAGGTAGTTTTCAAATTAGTAATACTTTTTTTAATTAATTAATTATTTTACATATGATTAGTTTTCCTTTCGTTTTTTCAGGGCTATCAGATGGCAACACCAATGTACAATATGCCTTGGATAGATACATCAATTCACGATTCTTCTTCCTTTCAAGGCTCTCCAGCTTTTGTACCTCCAATGGAGTTTACTAGAGGAGGGAGTTTCTACAATAATTCAAGACGCTATGACAACGATAGACGTAAGCCAACACAGTCATATTATCAGCCACCCAACCAAAAGTCTCATTAACATTGTAATTATCTTATAACATCTATACATACGCAAAAATTATATTTAATTGTAATAAATAACTCAATTAATAACTTGCTTTACAATATTATTTTTTTTCAATTTGTTGCAATTTGAAATGCATTTTAAAATACAACCATTGCACAGTCATATTATAAATAATTTGTTTTTAATAAAACTTGTCAATGTTTGTTATGAAGCCTTGATCGTTTTGCTTAGTTTCTTAAAATTTGTTTGTAAAATCCATATGAATTATCTAGTAGGCACAAGTTTAAGGAAACAGTAGTTAATACAGTAGCATGTATTAAATGTTATAAAATCAAACTATTTATGGGTTGATGATCTTGTTTCCTGATGTTCTTGGATTTGATTTTCATGCAGACTTCAGGCATTTCATATAATATTGAAAAACTTTTTAACAAACGTTAATTCAAATAATGATGATAAAAAATAAAGATTAACTCTTAATTTTTTTCAACTGGTATGTTTAGGTCTATTACTCATTATGTCTGTATACTCTTTGTAATAATTCATTAAGTCACTTTTATTGTTTTAATGTAAATATTTTCAATGAATTGAACCATATCTTAAACATAAGAATCAATAAATTTGAGAAATGTGGATAATTAAGTCATTGTTCTTATCTGCTAATAAAGTGTAAAAGATAATATTGGGGAGACTGCGATCAAGCTGTATACATAGACGTATGAATTACTCATTATGGGAAAGCTTGAAGAAAGACCAAACACAACAAATGATATCAGCCATTTTTCTATTTAAACCTAAGCAAATTGTACTTTCCTATTTTCCTTTCTCATGATTTTGGTTTGATTTTATTAGCTTTTCATGGTTGCCTCTGGAACTTGGCTGCAACTTTCTATTAGATAAGTTTCTTTTTCCATTCCATATTATTTACTGTTTTACTTGGACTGTTCAGTGACAAATGCTTTTGGTCAATAAGCTTGCTGTTATGTTTGAATTTCTTCTTGCTTTCCAATACTATGTGCTTCATACTTCCCTATCTGCTAATAACTTGACTATAAAAGTATTTGTAATTTTAATTAGTTATACATTGTGTTACCTTAAATCTGGTCAACATGTTCAGTAGTTTCTAGTACAAGATGGAAAATTTTCCTTTTCAAAAAAATAATTAACGTATTCATAATCTTTTGCATATCAACAATAGCACATCAATTCACAATCTGGAGCATTGTCTCACCTTTCTGTCTATATACAGGCAAATGTTGTAGTAATTATTTGCAAAGTACTATCATGAGGTCCATGTAAATATTTCAAAGGGATCCATAGCACAAATAATGTTAAGAATTAGGAATCCTTGTTTAGTGTTTAAATTTCATATATTTCAATATAATTTTTTAAAATATTGGTCAGTTAAATGGCATTTTTTTTAAAGAGTGGTTAATGAAGGTTCAGAATTTTGTAATTAGTTAACTGGTAAAAGATATATGCAATGTTAGTCAGTAATGGTATTCTTATTCTATATTAGATTGGATGTGCAATATTGAAACTGGGTTTTTGTTGTCAACAAAAAAATGTTCTGGTTTCTTACCTGATATATATTTTTTTCTTCCTCACTGTATGTAGTGATAACTATTTTTCTATAAATAGAATTATTGATAACTCTTGAAAAAATATTCATTGTTCTCTACATAACAGAAATAACCAAATGTACACTTAGTACAACAAAACAGAATTATTTGAACCAAACTTCGGTATCTGTCAAGCATATGAAGCCCAAACTGTTCTTAAAAAATACCAACACAAAGCATAATTAGTTCTCAGTGCTTTTTTTCTTAAACCCAACATTTATTTTTCTAACCAAACTTTTTTTTTCCAGTAAATTACAATTTGTTTGAATTTGAAATCTGGACATCTGTATTTCTCATTCTGTTTGATGATTTGTCAACTCTGAGGCTAAATACTTGCCAATATATTGTTTATGACTTGCTGTTGTTCTCAAAATATCTATTTCAAATTTTGTAGAATGAAAATGTTTCATTTGTCTTAACCAAAGGTCATCTATAATGTGTTATGGCATATGGTGTCAGGACCCTTAAAATGGGTTCTCTACAGCAGTGTAAATCGCTAGACTATTACTAATGCCAAAATAAATTAACTGTGAAATGACAAAATTCAGGGTATATGTGTTTGAAGAGGTTTTGATTTTGATGACAAAGCGTATGTATTTAACCAACCAGTGATGTTATGACTCTACCATTGATTCAAAGAAGAAAACTTTTATCTGAAGAAAATGGACTGTTTCAAAATATATTAATGTTTAACTATTTTTATGAATTAATTAACTTAGCAAGTGCTTTAATGAAACTTTAATGTTATTTGTTCAAACTTCTGCCATCACATTTTTATTTTTACCCTGCAAGAATTTGGTACTGTACTATTAAATATGTCAACTATTTAAAGAATTTTGGTTGTATTGTTTAGAAATCTTTCTGTAACTTATACTGTCACATTGCATGGCTGATTAGGTGTAGTAATGTTAATTGCTTATTCTTTGGAAGTGTTTTTATTTCCTGTCAACCCTTAGCTATTGTGTAACATTTCATATAAATTATTTTTAACTTTTGTTCAAAATTTCTTATAAACTATTCCTTTTTCTTTGTCTGTTAACAGAATATATTTTTTTATTGAAATTTTTAAAATTCAAAGATAAGAAACTCTTATGTCTGTCTTACTTTTCTGTTAAAATTTGTTGTGAAATATAAATATTTATGATTAAAGCAGAAATGTCCAGGTTCCTTCTACTCCAAATAATTAAGGTTTATTATATTAAGATGCTATAGAAAACCAATGAATTTTCAATCTTCTTACTTCCTTAATTAGACAGGTTTCTTAGCAAGCCTTAATGCAAATTGTATTTTTTATTTTTTTTAGTGAAAAAGCTCAGGCAAAAACTGGGTTATAATCCTCTACCATTAAAAAAAAGCTCACTCATAATTACAGACATATAGACCATTTTAGCAATTGATGCTCTAAAAACATGAACTTTATTCACATTTGTGTTACTTTCTAGTGGCACAAACTATTGGTTGTGCTTGGCCAGTGTCTCAATTTTAAAAAATTATTATTACCCCCTAAAGAATGTTTAAATTGTACATTCTTCTGAAATATGAAATTGAATTTTCTAAGTTGGTTTATTGGAGGCCTGTTTTTGGTTTTTGTACATGGTCAATTCCACCTCTGCTAAAAGTAATATTTAAAATCCATATTGGTAACCATAATAAATTATTTGTTCAGCACCAGATGTGCCTTACTTGAAATTTTTAAGTTGCTTTGTGGCTGTTTGTTTAAAATATTATTACTTTAATATATGCTTATTCCTAACATACAGATATCAGCAATTGTAATAGCTTTTTAAAAAAAAATTGTGGTCCTTAAATTATTTTTAAATGCTGTTTCCTAACTAGGTAATTCAAATCAATAGTGGAACAAGATATGTGTAGGCTTAAAAATAAAAGACAAGACAATGAAGCAAATGTTTTGGCTAGATTCCCTCTTCAGCAAACAAATACAATGCAATAAACAACGGATACATTTTAATTAAAAAATAAACTTATGTTTTGAATATTTCAATGAAGTCAAAAAAGTAGCTTAGTGATCATATGAGGAAGTGCTCTATGTTGTTCTTAGACACAGAAGTTGAGTTGTTTACAACTGAAACATGTGTCCCATTCATGGGTGTTTGCTATAATGGTAACAGTATTAGTGATGTAAATTTAAAAAATAAATTTGAGAATAGAAATGGAGGGAAATAAACTTAACTTCCATTTGAAGAAGGCATCTATCCGAAATGCCACTTAGTTTTCTTGCTTTTTATTTTCAAGCCTAAACATATCTCGTTCCACTATTTATTTATTTTACATGACTTGAACACAGTCCCTCTTATATTAGGTAATTAAATTCGTTTTATTTTTAATAATTTAGAAACTATAATTTATAACATATTTACTTTTAAATTTCATCTATTAATTACGTTTCATTAAGAAATAGTTTTTTTAAAGCAACATTCAGCATTTAATTTAAAATTTATGTTTGAGTCAGTGTTTTAATGCAGTTGTTTTTTTTTAAATTTTACTTGATTTAATTTTGTTGTCAGTCCTTGAGTGACTTGATAAAAGTTTGCAGATGGATTAGCAGAAATTAAATTGTTAATACAGTGCATGTTGACACTAGAATAACTTTCTACATTATTATTTTAAAAAATTACATTTCCATGGTGCCAAAAATGTTTTGTCTAATTACTTTCTTCTTAGTGGAACATGGGTGTTTTCAAAATATACTGTAATGTATTTTGTAATAGTTAACTTTTTGAAAGGCAATTAAATCTACAATGTATATAATTAGAAAAATTTTGATTTGTTTGACTATTTCTTTATCAGTTTTATATTCTTTTAGTTTTAGTGAAGAGAAATTACTGTTCATCTTGAAGAAATCAAACGAGGAGAAAATTGCCTTATTTGTGATTTTAAAAAAATAATTGGTTTCACAATACCATACAGTTGTAAGCCTGCATGAATTTTCTAGTGAGACATGCAGACCTGTAAATAAATGTGTGCAATATTTTTGGTAGGCTGCTAAGGTGTGTTAAATGACCGACTCATCAAACATATCAGAACATCAGCAGTGTCTGAATCCTAAAGCTTTTCAGCTGACTGTAAATGCCCTTACATTAACTTACCAGTATATTAACTAACTAAAAATGTTCAATATGTAATGAAATATGCATTTTTCATCAGGATTAAACTGCTTTGGTATTTTACTATTATTATTAATTCATGAAGTTTAATAATGAGTAAAATTCTTAATTGAAATAAAATTGTTGCTGTACTGTAAAAAAAAACACACACAAACGGAGCATTGACTTAATTTTGTAAAAGTAGTATTTATTAACTATCCAATACTGCAACACTTCTATCTTAGTTCAGTGCTTCTGTTTTGTATAATATTTATCTTATCTTTGGTTTGTAGTAATAAACTAAATAATGAGGCCTGTTTGTGTTTAATTTTTTGGTCTTTATAACACACATTACAATACAATGGAAATCTTTACTTTTTAAGAACAAATTGAAAAGTTGTATAAAATTTATTAACTTTCATTGATGTACTATAATAGTACAGGAAACAATGAAATAAGTATAAATTGCACTTAAACAAAATTGTTTTCCCACCTCATGCCCGAGGTAAAAAAAATTTTAACACTTTGTTACAGTTATACCAGTACAAATGCGCTGCAAAATTCCATTTATTGATAACTAGTTTCAAGGTACTTTCAACTTGATCCAGAAAAACACATTGATGATATGCCTTTCTAGATATTATTCAGTACAATTCATATTTTCATACAAACCTTTTTAGCCTTGAGGGCCGAAGGCAAAATTAAGAGATGGTGCGGTGTATTGTAAAGGATAATTCCAAGAGAATATCAACTAACAGGGACTATTGTTTATAGTATAGTATTTTCATCAACTTTATCTTTGTAAGAACTTGAAAATGTTAAAGGAATCATTTCAACTTAAAATCCAGTTAAGTAGGCATATTTAGATGCATAGTCAAGGGAAAGTTCTAAATAAACAAGTTTATGAAAAATTGATGGCTTTAAGTTCACTGGAACCGTGTCAAGTTGATTCAAATTAGTCCATCAAAAAGTTGCATTTCTTTAAATAATGTAGTTTCCTGTGCCAAAAAATACTGGAAGCTCTTAAAAATAAAAAGAGGTGGGAGGGTGTGTATGATATGAAACAAATCAAATGATCCCACACCAGTGTGTAAATTATTTACTTTTTTCATATGATTATCAATAGGGATATACACTATGAATTCAAAATCACACTATGCTATAATTTATAAATGTGCAAGTTGTCATAGTTTAGTTAAAATTTTTTTGATCGTTGTAAGCCATATTGCAGTAAATCAATACCTGGCATGACTGATGTTTCTGAACAACCCTGATTAAGACCTGTGACTTGTAATAATTTTCTTTTCGTTCATCTCAAATAATATTTTTTAAACTGCTTTTTTAAGCCAAACTTAAAATTTTCATTAATATATTTTATAAAATTGGACTTTGAAATATTTATTAAAACTCAAAAAAAAGTAATGGTTGAAGTAGAGTTCTTTAAACTGAGAGTTAAAAAGACAGTGGATTACTTTGGGCCTGTGCGACAAGAGGACTGGAGGCCTAAGATTAAGAGTGTTAAGAGAGGCTAAGAGGTGACAAAGCAATATTTTTAGCACATAAACAAATACCATTAAAAGGTTATTTAGTCATAAAGTAGCAAATAGCTGCCTTAAAATGAACAAAGATCAATTTCTTCAATCAACATATAATTTAAGAACTGAGACCTCATGAAAGTTACAATACAGGCAAATATTTTAGTTGAAACTTGCTTAATGATATTTTATATTATACTCTGTGCTTCAGGTTCAATGAAATCTTTATAACTATTAACTCTTTAAGAATTTTGACCAGGGTGTATGTAGTGCTATATCAGAAATATTTGGTAAATGTGAGAAAAGATAACCAAACAGACCCTCAATATATGCGTATATATCTTTAGATTTAAATTTGCATAGACACCCATCCCACCATCATTCAGAAGATTGTGATAAAGAAAATCTATGCAGCCAAAATTTTAAGAAAGTCACTAAGCGATGGCACTTTTTTAGTGATATGATATAGTGTTTAATAATGATGTGTTGAGTGAGGTGATCAGCTCATCAAAATTGTCTTTTTCTTTAGCCCCTTGGTAGCAAGAGAGCCTTATTTTACCCTAAGTGCATACCAAATTACTTTCCTCTGCCCCATTTTTAATTTTAAAAAATTACATTTTATCGCTCAGTATAGTACATTCTTTCATGAATTCATGGGAATCAAATACAAGACCTTGACTAACTATTTCATAAAACTTAATAAAATTTAAATAGCATTAAGCAGTGGAGCAATGACCAGTTAATGACTAAGTAACAACCAGGGTGAGAAGGCTAAAAATTTCATTGTCATGAATTTTAGTCGCTTATCAAACTGTAAGTTACACTATTTTTTTTTCATCCAACACATGGGAAATTAAAGTTACAATGACAATCCAAATAATACTGAATTTAAATTATTTATGCTTCAAAATTAAATCCTTTAAAAACGTAGCAATTTACAATAAAAAGTATACATAACTAAAAGAAATGCACTATCTTTCAGGTGTGCACATTTTATTTTTAAACATGAAAACATTTTTTTCATGTTTTTATTATGCATAATTGAGATTCTAGCTCTCGGTGCTCGGACTTTCCATCCTAATAAGATCCATTCCAGCAAGTAACTTTTCTTGCTTCTCTGTAACACTAAGAGATTCCTGCCGTTCAGAAATCTGGGCTGCTAAGGACTCAAACTTGCTCACAAAATCAAAGCTGCTTTCATTCACAAGTCCTTCAACCTGAATTTTGTTCAATAAACTAAGAATTATACTTGTGATACAAAATGCACCGTTAAGCATAATCCTGAGAAATGGAGCAAAGAAATAAAAATAATTACAAATTTAAGGTAGGTGACTAATAATTACAAATTTATAAACTCTATGACATTAATTAACGTAGTCATAAATAACCAAAAGCATTGATGCGATATATTTCAAAGCATTCCCCCAATGAATCCACAGAGCTGGCTTTCCTCACACATTTACTAATTTCTAAGTTAGTAAGCTTATGTGTGCTTTATATTCTTATGCTTACCTTTGCTCACTTTAAAAAGTCTGATATTGTAACATAAAAACTTACTCTGGCTAACAGAAAGAATAAACTGAATCATCAGATTTATATTTCTTTTCAAAATTAATTTCTAAAAAATATTTCCAAGCATGTTCATCATCTGCTATGAACTTAGTTAATGGAAGATAAATCACTATAATTAGTATCTATATAAGCCTTTATAACAAAATATAGGGAGATATCTCATTTTTACAAGTAGCAAACAATGCAAGAGTTAATAGATCTAGCAGTGAAAATTATGGCTTCTTTCTTCCTCACATATTTTAATATTCTGTGTATAAATATAAAATATAATATATAAAAGAACACACTTTAAAATAATCGTTACACCTTTGATGTGACAACACAGTACAATTTTTTTTCACATGGTAAAAATCGATGCTTTTGATAGGTTATGTAAATGGAAAAAAATAAATCTAGAATGGGGCAAATAGCAGGTCCATAAAGGTTTCCCATTTTAAAAGTTAATAAAAAATTATAGCCTGCTCAGGTCTACATTTTGTAAGCAAAAAATATTAAGGCCTTATGGCTAATATAATGGCTAATAATATGGAATATAGAATATATTTCAAACTTATGTTAAATGGAAAAATTTTCAACTTACATCAAGTTTAGCAATTGAGTCTTCAGAACCTTCACCAAAAAGCTGAGAATGGCCCTCTAAATCAAGTGAGGTTGAAAATAAGTTAACAGGTTTTAATTTTGACAAAGGCAGAAGTGGGGAAGTACGTTGTAAATCTTCCTTTTTGAAACTGGGATTTCCTAAGAGTGAACTCAATGAGATGTCATCAGTCTGAAATGTAAGTTATTCAAAATTATCATTGTAACTTATTAAATTACCAGATAGGATATATTGGTATCTTCAATAAATATTTACACAACCTTTTGCCTCGCTCCTGAACTAAAAGTAAAACGCAGAAATTCCTATACCTAAAGAAGAATCTCAAAATCAATGTTCACATATGACACAAATGACTGGGGTGGGGTTTAACAGCAGCGCTCCATTTCTTCTTCATGTAATTTATAATGCGTTTTGTTCGGAACTTCCCCATATGTGGCACCACGTTTATTAAGTGATGAACGAGCTGGGGTGCAATTTCCGGTGGAAGTGAGGTAATGTTTTGGGGGTTGGAAGTGTTGGAAATTAATGGATATTAACAGTTGGAAAAGAAACATTACTAGACTATATTAGATCTACCTATACATTCTTTTGTTTATAACTGTTACTGAGGAATTTCTTACACATTCATTGGGGTTTGTGTTGTCTTCGTTGTATTCCTCAACGTCTGGATTACTGAATTATCACAGAGAGGAGCAGCCCCATATTAACTAACACCAATACTACTTGGTACGCGACTATAAGTACGGGCCATGCCTCACACCACTATCTCATCTGTGACATTTTTAATTAGAGAATAAGGTTATTTATTTTAAACTTAAATCTTACCAAATTTCAAATCTTTATATCAATAAAGATATCAAAATGTACCCCCCCCCCCATCCCCCTCGCCTTTGAAATGAAAAAAACAGAAACTATTAACATACATAGTTCACAATTTTATTTTAAATTATCTATATACCAATATTCACATCTGTAATGTTTTGGAGTTTTGAAGTTTTGAAATATCTGATGGAAACGACATCACCCAAGTAAATAAAACTATCTAAAATGTACCCCCTCCACACTTTCCTGGCCCTTGAAATGTAAAAACAGAAAATGTTTAAATACATAGTTAACAATTTTATTTTAATGTTAAATATACAAAGCTAAAATTTGGCGTTGTGTGTTAACATTTTATAAAAATCAATCAATGATATTTATTTTTAAAAAGTGGGAAAAACATTATCAGTTTTCTCACATTAGGTTAAAATCAAGAAAAGTTAAAGTTTGTGATCTGTGAGTTTAAATTAAATTCTAATAAGATATTCTAATTTTAGTTTCATTGAGTTCATTTTTTGAAGTCGTCTGGAAAATTAACAAATTTTTGCAATATTAATAACGTAATAAAAACAAAAAAAACAGATTTTCGGGTTTTCCCACCAAGCGTGCTACGAATTTATAATATTGAAATGAGCGAAACAAAGTATGGGAAAACCTGATTAAAGAACGAAACAAAACAACAAACGTGTCGGCAAGAAGCCTTCATCACAGAACAAACAGTAACAACAAAATTAAATAAAAATAACACTTTGCTGTGGTGTAGTATCTGAGAGCAAAGCAAAGTGTTATAGGGAGCTTGTTTACATAATATTTCTCGTGCGTGCCCTCTGATTGACCCCGCATGAGACGCTGTGTTCACAAAGGGGTGTGGCTTAGGTCTTTGAAGTGGCTTGTTTACAATCGGCTTCCAATTACGCATTGGGTAGATTGTTTTCGGGTAATTTCTGGAATATACTCCTTAACCCGAGATATGTAAACAACACGTCATAAGCCCTTCTCGAAGCATCTTACTCTACATATATATAAGGGATTGACAGGCACGAAGAGGGAGATTTCCGATAGATTTTCTTAACATTACGAGGCGTGTTTTATTCTTTGTGTATTTGTGTGCTCCTACTTATATATGTTTATTTCGCATTATTTATTGGCATCATTATTTCTAATTGTATTAACTGTGTACCGGTACGACATCTGCCATACTGTAAGTTGAAGATTGTAATTTTATTTTATTTTATTTTGTAATTATCTTAAGACAATTTCTAATTGTATTAACTGTGTACCGGTACGACATCTGCCATACTGTAAGTTGAAGATTGTAATTTTATTTTATTTTATTTTGTAATTATCTTAAGACATAATAAATCTTAATTAATTGTAACTAGAAACTGTTTTGGGTCGTATCTTTAATATTGTTGATTATATGGTATCGTCCTTTGTTAGGCACTGTTTACAACGAGCCAATTAAAATTAAAATAGGAGATTAATTTTTCCCAATACAAGTCAGTGCGTAACAAAAGGGAATGTGACAGAACATAAGTAGGTGAGAGATTAAATACAGGCAAAGAGGGAGAGAGGCAAAGAAAAGTATGTTAACTGAAATTGGTTGTAATGAGGAGGGGGAGAAAAAAGACTTAACCGGTGAATGAGAACATAACATTTATGCCATGTGGCATCAAGGTTCCATAATTCTGTTTCGCTCATTACCATTTTTCAAACATGAATGCAGTCTCTCCCCATTATTACGAATTTATAATAGTTATACATCAATAATCATACCTTAATTTTCACATTCAGATAAAATACTCAAAATAATTCTTTAATTGTTATATTATATGTATTTTTAATATATAATAATAATTATTACAAATAAAAAATTATATAAAATTAAATATAAGCAGATATATTTTTTAATCTTATTTCAATTGATTAGATTTCTCTAAAATACTAGAAAATCCTTATCATTGGTTTAATAAATTTGAGCTCATTTGAATTGATATGGTTTTTTTATTTTAGCATTACATGGATACTTTAGCTCCTATTTATAGAGGTAAGACAAATATTTTATATCTTCATGAGTATAAATTACCTGTAATTGATTTTTGAGAATCTTAAAGTAAAAGGGCATGATCAATTGTTTTTAAACTTTTTAGAAAAATTCCCTTCCCAAAAATATACACAAAATATCATTTCATTTATTAAATTTATAGCCAACGCCTAATACAATTAACCCTTTATAAGTGAAATCAAATAATATCCTTCCATCCTTACTTAAAACATTTTTCTTCTGTCCTAAGAGCTAACAATGATATAAAATCCTAAAAACTCACCACTGATTCTAATGGTTTACTATAAGAATCAAGTCCTGGCTCTGATGTGTTTGAGGATTCAGCATCAAAGAATGAGGTATATGCTGCAGAAGGAGTTGAAGTGGCTGCATATTTCTCATTTCCTAAGCTAATATTGGTAAAATTTGTATGGTTCTGTGTTTTGAATGATGATGAGTCTCCTAGGATAGAGCTTAATGAAACATCCTGAAAAAGGATAAAAATATATTTTAGTGTATGCAGAAATTCCTAATGTTCATAAAAAAGATTCCATCTTTAAAGATGACAACTCATCTCAACATTAGATTTACAATTTTCAATCTGGTTCACTTAACTTTCTTTTAAGTTGTTACAATCACAACTCTCTCATGAAACTAAATAATAAAAATTATGTTGTAGAAGATGATGAAAGAATGTGATAAATGTGACATTGTTAAACATACGTCTGATGTCAGCCACTGTTGTTCATTAGGCTCTTTTAAAGGTGAAGGAAACTCATTGGGTGTATTAAGAAATGAGGTGGATGTTGGAACTCCACTAAGGGATGGAGTGCGCAGAATGGGAGTGCCAAAGCACATCTCAGCATCAGTAATCTCTGAGTGCTCCCCTTCTGAATATTGTGAGGACTTTTTGGGGGTTTGCAACAAACCTTTTAAAATAAAGATAATAGGCAAAATATTAAAAAATTATCTCACTGATTTTATAATCAGATCAATCCTTTTAATTTCCAAAATACATTTCTGAAGCATATCTTATTTATAATAAAAATAATTCAGCAAGAGAAAGTAGAAAGCTAAAATAATTACCAGAAAATCCTTGCTCTGAATTTTGCAACAACAGATCTAAAAATCTGTCTCCAGCATCTGGACCCACTAAAAAAAGAAGAGAAGAAAAGATAAGAAGGATGGATCAGTAAAAGAATGGTATCTGATCTTATCGAATTAACAAACTTGACTGCAATCTCTACCATCTTTAAAGAGCACCCATGGATATAGAGTATTGCCAGTTTCTAAATATTTACATGAGGTTGACAAATATAATACTTACTGCTACCTCCACTAACAGAAGTCATTGATATGTTAAAGTCTGAGATACTGAGGTCTCCCTGAGCTATTGTAGCAGGAGTCAACAACTTGGGAGATGAAGTTTTATTGAGGAATACAGTTGTTGGGGTGGTCGACACAGAGATTGACGACAGAAAGGATTTGTCATCTAACTGAATGTTGTTTTTGACATCTAAAGGAATCAATACTGTTGAGTTTGCCAGGTTTCTTGTTGTCACAACTTCCCCATGTTGCTGAAATAAATATTTTATATTCTGTTTTATTATTAATGAATAGAAAAAAAAAATTATATCTTAAAAATATCAAATACTGATGACTACTTTTAAAATAATTTTAAATTATAAACAGCTTGAATTTAAATATCAAAGAATGTGATGACTGACCAAGAGAAATTTAGCACAGTCATGTTAACTTACTGCAAAGACAGAGTGTTCAAGAGACCAAGCTTCACTTTTATCATCCCACAAACTACACAGCTGAACAAAACAAATTAGTCAGCAAAATAATAGCAAAGATAGACCCATTTTTAAGTTTCCTTAGAGAGAGCAAGGAATACTTAAATCACAGTAGGGTTGCACCGATTTCTCTGCAGTTAGTATGTAATCTCCCATTTTGCCTTTATTTTAAAATAGATTAAACAGCTAATCGGGGTACAGAAAAAAATCTTCTATATGCCGGCATTAAATGAACTCTAGATTATGCTAAATGGTTTTAATTAGATTTTTTATGAGACTTCATTAAATTTATACCAAAATAAGGAATGCACTATCATGCATCCTTCACTATTTTCATTTTTATTTATTTCTGTGATGACTTGATTGTTTACACAATGACACGGTGGATACCATTTAACATTACACTTTTTTCCTGAGGTGTCACAACTTTAATAGCTTGATATGAAAAAAAACCTTTTGTGATGTTTTTTGGGGGGTTTATTTCCTAGCTGGTCCTAACCTAGTCAATGCACAAGGTTCAAGAGTTTGAAAATCAGTGGAGCACTTGCTGCTGTTTCTTCACCTGGTTATTGTAGGCTAATAATAAAGGTTTACCAATGCTCCCAGTAACTCAAATTGCAGTTTTTATTTTAAATTATGAAATAGTAAAAAAAAAACTGCATTAATTTTTCAAAAACATTTCAAAGCAAATTAAATAAATTAATGCAGATTAAATAATTAGCAGTAGCCAATTTAGCAAGACTAAAAAAAAACATTAATTGGCCACTTTGCTTATCGATGCAACCCAAATTCAGAGGCCTTTCTACGGATTGTATAATTCTGGTTGAAAATAAAAACAACTGCATAATTTCATAGTAAAAAATTTTGTAACTGCAATTACCAAGTTATCAGTACAAGATTGTTTAAATAAATGTGAAAATTACTTATTCACAAAATGTTTATTTGTAAAGAAAAATATAATTTTTTCATTTAAGGTCCTTTACAAATTTTCTTTAAATTAAGGCCTTGTAAATAAAATTATCTTTATGTATTATAAATATTAAAAGCATTACCTCTGAGGCTTTAGTTGTAGCAGTCAGAATTGCCTCTTCAGGTATAGCTCTACCTTCTGAAACTTATAAAGACAACAAAAGCATAAATATTGTTATTTTTTTTATTGCAAATTATTCTTCAAAATACCTGGTACTGGTACACCCTAAAGTAAGAGAACATATGTAAACTTTTTCCATATAATTAAACATTTAAAATGTTTTTGATATTTATAACTGGCACCATAATTTTAAAAATACTGGTATGCATATTACCAAGAAGATCCCAAAATATAATATATATCATGTCCTGGGAGTAATTCCAATTAGAATTTTAAAATGTAAAAAAATAGCACCTTTCATTTGATCATTATCTTCTGATTTGGATAGTGGAGTTGAACAAATGATGTTTACAGCCTGTGCAGATTTCATAAGCTCTTCTGGTCCTACCCGCACTACTAATGACCTTTGTATTGCCCGAGGACTTGGCTGTATGAAACAAATTTAATAAGAATCTTACTATGCTCTTAGATATTTCCTGAAAAGTAAAATTCCACCATTTGTATATGAAACTTAAACACAAAGGCTGATTATCAATAACTGAATTCACTGTTTTACAGTATAAAAATGACACTATTTCAAGCACTCAAGTCATAAAAGGTCTAAACAGCTGTTAACTTACAAGACTGATTCATCATGTGTTAGAAAAATGTCAGCTGGGTTTAAAGTATAAATCCTCCAACTTAAAATAGAGTCTGCTAAAGTGGCTTATCACAATAAATCTGAGGCATACAAAACCTAAAATCTTCAAACCTGTATGAGGGTCACTATCTCTCCCGTATCCACTTTAGGTACCAAAGATCTCTGAACAATAATAGAAGAAGATGTTTTTCTACTCATGGTTCGCTTCTTAAGCAATCTACGGGGACTTGGTGCTTGTTGCTGAAATTAATATTCACATTTATTTACTTTTACCAAATCAACTTTGAACTTATAGGCACTAAATTAATTATAAGAATTTTTTTTAAAAATGCTTTTAACCCTTTCAGTAGTGTAGCGCCCATTAAGAAATAACAAAGAGAAATAACTCCATTATGACCATAAGTTGCGGCCTAAAAAATTTATAAAAATCAATCTTTTATCCAGTCCAGTCAGAGAAAAAAATTACTCATAATTGTAGAGAAATATAAAATTTTAATAAAATGAGTCTGCATTAAGACCAGTTAAACCGAAAAATTCTTAAAATTTCAATGAAACGCAAATTGTCAACCCAGTCAGATCTATCAACTTCGTCTTCATCTTCTGACCCATTTGAGATATTGATAAGATAAGAGAATTCAATATCAACATCACTTTTATTTCCATTACCTATTTTTCCCTCTATTTCTGCATCAAATTCATTACTGTAGACAGTTTGAAACGATTCTAGAAAGGCAAACGCCAAAGCATAGATCAATTGAGATAATTTATTATAAATGTCTTTTGTTCAAATTGTTTTATTTATGTGCTGAAAATGTATAATGCAATCAAAAAACATTTCCATTTGTTTGAATCAATAAAAGAATCTTATCTTATCTTACTGTCAAAAAATTTTTTTTTTATCAATTGAAATTAGTGTAAGTAAAATCAAGTTCACAGCCACCAAACCCCCATAAAAAAAGCATAACACTTCCTGTTTATAAATGGGCTCTTTGTAACTCCTTAATTAGAAGAGATACCTTCAATAGACAACATTGAAAATGGCGTGTGCGTTACAGTGAGATTTGGCCATTACGTGGCTGAGGCTTAAGGGCAAGAAAGCGGCAACTTAACTAAAAGGGTTAAGCAAGAGAATTACACACCATAATTTCTTTAGCTTGCTGCTGCAATCTCTGCTGCTCTTCATATTTCTGTTGATCATCTTTAGCACAAAGATTTTTAAAAGTCGGAACAAATGGTACACGAAAAACTGGATCAGACCCATTAATCTGTTGAGATTGTTTTGAATTAATAATTTAGTATAAATAACTTTCTATTCATATTTTAAAAGAATAACCTTTTTTTTTTTATATGTTAGTGCTTCATTAATTTCACCCCAAATTCCAATATACAGTTAAAGCATTTAAGTCTGATTAATGATGTTCAAAATTAAATCATGCCAATAAAAAGCCAGATCAGGAATCCTAACCAATATTTTTGTTCAAGATCACCAACTATAATGTTTATCACACTTAAGCTGAGGTATAAATAAGGCATTCTTATTAAAATCAATGACATTTTGATGTGGTCATTTTATTGTTTAGTTAAAGTCAGCACATGTATTATACTTCACAAAGCTTCACAAATAAAACCTTGATGTTGAATTTTATCCCACCTGAACAGCCCCAGGAGGTGGTCCTGCAACAAATGTTCTGGTGCCAGGTGTTAATCCTGGCAATGGTTGAAAGATCTGAGCCTGGGTAATGTTAAGGTCCAGGTTTTGGGGATCTGTCATTGTAGCTGTCTCACGTGTCCGCTCCTTTCTATCAACCTTCATTTGTCTCCGAGAGCTCCTGGAACCAGATTTCAATGCCACATCACTACCGCAATGAGAACATGGAACACTTTTGCTTGGTGGCTTATTCTGGTCCACTAATTTCTCCTGAACACAACAAACAGAACATCTTTATTTTCGTTACACTTTAAAATGCAAAATTAATTAGCAGCACATAAATCGGTTAAATAGAAGAGCCCCCTCCCCATTCTCATTTTTTTCCCCCAGCAGTGGTTCACAAATTCTGTGGCAAAATGATGCAGTTATTTTTTTAAATTAATTTTAGTCCCAGATTTGCCATTTATTGGCCTATTAATTAAAATTATTTTGTAAATATGATACAAAATGTCCCTTTAAAACCTAATATATGTTGTTTTTTTCCTAAGTGTAGATTTTTTCCCCAGGGTATTTTAAAAGCAATGATGATTTTTAATCATCAATGAAATAAATAAAATCCCCGGAAGATGTTTAGAAGAGGTGTTATCATAAATAAAATAAAAGTGTACAGCCAGCAAACATTCATTCTGAAAGTGCAGCCGTTGAACAAATTGAGAATTAATGTTAACCAAGAAGGTTTATTTCTCACGTGTAATTAAAATATAAAAAATACTTGACATGCAAAACAAAAAACAAAAAAATTCAGGCAACTTTAGTAGCACTCACCAAGGGTTTGGAATAATCAGATAATTCCACAGCAGCAATATTGCATAGACGTCTAAGTAAATTGCTCATCTGGTTAGAGGCCTTACAGAGCAAAGGGGGTAACTTAGATGGATTCTTCTCTCTCCATTCATAGTCCAATTTGATTATATTTTCTCTACCTAGCAAGATACTCAGATGGAGGAGTGTAACATTGTTTGAGTTCTTCTGAGTAAAGCCTTCGCCTACCAGTTTGGTCAATCTTGCTATTTCTCGGTCAGATTCTTCTTTTAGATCTTGAACAGAAATTGAAGTGCCTTCATTTTTAGCAGGAGAAGAGGAATTGTCACTGAGAGATACTGGGTTATCACAACTGTTAGATGCTGGTTTGACTTCATCTACTAATGCAAGCTTCTTGGAAGCTTTAGTTATTTTCCTCCTGTTAACTGAAGTGGGAGATAACGCCGAGCTCATTGAAGGGGGTGGTGAGGAAATGATCACAGAAGAGTTTATGTTTTGTGCAGTAGAGATAGAGGATATTGGTGGTGAGAAGGGTGCATGATCTGGGAACATGGCATTCTCATCTTCATGCAGTACAGACGGTGGTGTCACACCAACTGGAGTATCAGCCAAACAATCGAGACCAATGTTCTGGGCAATACTGGATACATCACTAGCTCCAGTAGAAATTAAATTAGCAAAAGCAGGTGGCACATCATTGCTGATTTTGTTATTTTGGTAATCTGAAACAAAATTGCTTTCTTTAGGGTTTGAGGTTGAATTCCGATCTACTTTTCCAAATCCACCAGGGTCATCTGGAATTTCCTCAGATGCCTTTTCCTTTTCTTCTATTCGCTTATCAGACTCTTTGGATGCTCTTGGTCTTTTCTTATTTCGTAATGTTGCTAAAAATAGAAAATAGCACAATTTTTAACCAACAAAATAAGATAAATTGTTTTAAAATTCAGCTAGACCAATAATAAAAAAAAAAAAAGGAACGTGGACATTATTAAAAAGGTTAAACCCTTTCAGTCGTGTTATGGCTGTCTGGAACTTACCCTTCAGTCAAGTTGGAGCCTATTCCCATTTTAAACAACACACCATTTTCAACATGGCCTAGTGAAGGTAACTTTTCTTATTAAGGAGTTACACAGAGTCTTATTATAAACAGAAAGTGTCAAGCTCCTGTTTTATTGAGGTTTGGTGGCTGTGCACTTGATTTTACGCTAATTTTTTATTTTTTGAAAAAATAGATCTACGCTGAATGGTGTTTGCCCTTTTAGATCATTTAACACTTCAACTACGTCGGCCATTTGTGTCGACAGTAATGAATTTGATATGGAAGTAGATAATGGAAATAAAATTGATGTTGATATTGAATGAGTTTAACATTTTTATATCCCAGATTGGTCAGAAGATGAAGTTAATATATCTGTCTGGTTATACCCATTGCGCTCCAATGATGTACAAGAATTTTAGTTGTGACTGGTCCTAATGTAGGCTTCTTTTATTAAAATTTTACATTTCTCTACAATTCTCAACACTTTTTTTTATATGAATGAATGAAAGATTGAGATTTAATAAATTGTTTATGTCAATAACTTATGGTCAAAGTGGAGTTATTTGCAAAATTGAGTTATTTCTCTTTGCTTGGTACAAAGGCTCTTTCTTGATGGATGCAATGATGATGCAATTACCAAATAACAGAAATAATTTAAGTTTTTGCTTACGTAAAATGTTCTCCCGGTAACTCTTAAAAGTCACATCAATTCTTTGCTGTTCTTGGGGTATGATAGCGACAGGTTTTAATTTACAACTGGGATGAAGATAAAATATAAGTTCCTCGCCAGGTACTTCAGAAACACCAAACCCTTCTTTCTAGATAAATATGTAAGGTTGTGGAGGTCAATTTTTTTAAAAGGAAATATCAAAAGTAATTTCTTCAAAATAATACATGAATGAAAGTATTAATATCTTATATAGTAATAACGTGAAGATGGTCTCATTCTTTTGAAAGGATACTAGCCTGACTCTGTGAGGTTTCCACTTCTTATCCAAATATTTGAATACAGATTCCAGAGTCCTGTTTGCTGTGAGTTTCACACGGATGCGAGGATTTTGGGCCAAAGACTGCACTTTGCTCCAGGCTTTGCTATTTTTCGGAGTGAGCTCCAGAGTGATATGGTTTGGGAGTTTATTGGTTCCTGATGATTCAGATGCTATTTTGAAGATAAAACATAATATGTTGTAGGACATAGATTTCTATTTTTCTTGCCAACTTCTTTATAATTAAAACCTATAGAAAAAAAAAAGATAAATATATTTTAAATGTTTAAGCCATTTCACAAAAATACTTAAGCAGTTTAAGAGAATTACCGGATCGATTGTATGATGTGATATGAAAGAAAAATTATCCTGAGTTCTAGGCTTGAAGAATTTTAGAAGTACAAAATGAAGTTAAGTTCTGAAATTTAAAAAAAAAAATGAGTAAAATTTCATATTTGCCAGAAGTTATCCATACCTTCAATTCTGTTCAGCTTTTTTAAGTATGTACAAATGGGTGTTCTAACTTTGCCAACTCTGAAATGATATCATACATTTCCTGAACTTGCTTCTTATGTTTACTTCATTGACATACAGACAAAACTAATGTAAATGAAAGATTTTTTTTTAAGGAAAAAATAAGATGTGATTATTAATGCTTATGTTTAAATATGTCATCCTACCGTGGTCTCCGTCCCTTGGGTATACAAGAAGTTTCTCTGCAATAAAATATTTAAAAAAATGAATTATCAAAATTTTGTATTATTAATATAATAACGTTTCATTAGTGTTTTGACAACACAATACTTCCATTTAATAATTTCATATTCAAAATTTAATTGATGACATATAAATTCTTATTTTTTCACCCCTTACAAAAAATAAAAAATATAAAGGAAACATAAACAATAATTTTTTCTTGCTTTTACTTTAAAAACATTTCAAATACAACTCTGATATTTTTTTCTTTAAAATGTTTAATTACACAGACTACTGTTTATGACTTTCTACATAGATCCAGTGTTTGTGTGGTATTATTGTACATTTAATTTTCCATCCATACTGGGATCTGTACTGAAAATACCTACAAACCAAGTATCTATAGGAGAAGGACTTCTTCAATTGTTAGACATGATAAAAGCAACGCAAAGCATTTTTAAAACAAACAACAGAAATCGCAAGTTTGTCACAGGGATCCCCCTCATACAGCATTCGATTTTATGAAGCCCATTTTGAAGTACTTTCTGGTGAGGTCTAAAAAAAACATTTCATGTGTTTCAGATACACAACAGATAATCTGGTTGCGAGCTAAAGGACTCATTAACATCCCTAGTGTTTCATGATACTTTTGTTAAAAGATTTACTTCTTAGTTAAATTTTAGTCTCTCGATTTAGGGAATCTAGAAAAGAAATTATTTTATGTTAAATACTATCAATAAAATACCTTCAGAGTAAGAAATATTGTCAGGAGTGAAAGTGAATGGTAAAGTTGATTTCTGGAAGTTCCCCCCAAGATTAAGCAATTCTAAGAAGTTTTAGTTTGTTTCAAGAAAAAGATTTAGTTTTAATAAAAGATCTTACCGTTGCCTCCTCCCTCTAAAAACAAATGATGTTTCTCTGAAAGTAATCAAATACATAAATTATAAAAAGGTGTTGCTTCTCTGTCATTGAAAGTGACATAAATTATCAAACACATAGATAGATATAAACAGATATGTATTTCTTTAGTGGAGTTCTCATTATACAGCCCAGTGAACTATCTTAAGATCTTAAGCATAATCTGCTACTAAACTAGTATGCAGAAATTTTTACTTACCCATAGAGAATTAATTCATTTAGGCATCTTTCAAACTGAGGATCAGTTTCTGTAGCATTTTAAAAAATCAAATGAAACAAAATGTATCACACGTTAAATAATAAAATAATTTTAAACTGAAATTTACTTAAAATAAACTTTTGACTACCAGTTACGTTGGGACAAGTTTCAAAGAACAAAATCAAATCATAATATGAATTATACCTAAAGCCAGTAAACAGGGTCAGGGTTAGGTGTAAATATTGTGATACATACAATCAAATATCTTTGAACATAGCATTGCTCACTGTGGTTTTAAACAATCAGGCTTAAAATTAGTAAATTACTGACAGAAAAAGTGAAGAAACTACATATCATTCTCAGTCAGTAGCCAAAAAGGTTTTAACCAAAATTTTTAGGAATACATATGAAGTGTAGCAAAACATAGAAGCCAAGCAACCCAAATGCGAAGATACTTAAACTAATGACAATCAGATAATACCAACCAAGTTTGCTCAGAAAATTGTCTCTGAAATTTAAGGCTATTTTACAGCAAAGAACATTCAAAAGCACTAGATTTCTTCATTATTTTTTTTAAGGATGCAGTTTATTTCGGGAATATGACAATGTAAGCTTAAAAATTAAAATAGCAATGCACAATTTTATTGGTCTATTTGCTACATAATTTTCTTTAAACTTAAAGATGAAACATTTTAAAAGACTTAAAAAACTCTTAATTAATAATTCAATATATTTTCACCTTTCACATATTTTTTTAAAGCTCCATAATTAATAAGTCCATATAATTCTTGTGTTTTCATTTTCACACCTGAAAAGACAAACAAAATTTCAAAGAACTGTATAGTCTTAAATAATTAAATACTGGCCTAATCTCTGACTTCTCTTTACTAAGTAACTGGAGTTAAAATTAATAATTTTATTAACTAAGAAACATTATAACACATTTTTTAATATCATATTGTAAATAAATAGCAAATACCATCTCAAGCTAAATCTTTAGAAAACACAAAGGAAAATTATAATAAAATCAACTTTACCACTGTCTTTCATATGCACAAACTTTGAAATCTTTGCCCAAATTCTGTAATAGAAGTATCGAACTTGCATCTTGTCTTTCAAGGGAAATCCTCTCATTTTGGCAGCATGAGAAATTTTGTTACTTATTGCTTCAAAATTCTTTCCAAACTGTAAGAAGTTTGTGACATTATATTAAGATTGAGTTATCTTTTAAAAAACCATAAAATTAGAAAAATATAAAATACCTTTCATTTAAAAACAAATAATATTAGGCACACTGTTTACAGAATATTCTTACCTCCCCCAAGCCAATAAAGAACAATTTTTTGTCACGAACACTCCACTGAGCCCATGGTCTGCGTATTTTTTTCTTTGTTCTCTTACTTTGTTGTTTTGCTTTTTAACCAAAAAAAATTTGAGTAGATAAAATATTAAGGATATATTTGCATTTTAAAACATTATGTAGCTTTCTATTACCTTAGTAACATATTTTTTAATTGAATCATTTAGCACTAAGTTATTTAGCATACTAATTTAATGATCAACCAAAACATTAGGGCAGGCATTTATTTGTGACAAAAGTCTACTAACAAAAATAAACCAATCAGATATCATTTACATTATTGCTTAGGTGGGACATTACATCAGTTAAGCAGGATATATCATAACTGATACTCGATGAGACATAAGCGAGATTATTCAAAACTGCTATTCTCAGTTGTTTTTCGACCTTTGGGCTAAATGTGGATTTTAGATATGATCAAAATGAAAATATAATTAGTTGAAACTTCATATGTAAAAACTTTGCATCTACAGATGCTAAACTAAAATATAAAGAAATATGTGAGGAAGAGGTTGTGAAGAATTTTCCCAAGAAATAAATAGTCAAACTCATGAAGAAAGATAAAATTAGACTACAAAATTGACAAAATGACAGTCCTGGGCTTAAAAGAGAGGCAGCCCAAAATTAATTAAAATTGATTGCTGTATTACATTTTGTATCATCATGAATTCAAACATAATTATTTCTGTTTTTGGAATTAAGTAGAGAAAATTTTTTATGATGCATGTAATATTATTAAATAATATTTAATTGCAAATGGTTCGTTTCTTGCAGAAATGTACCATATTATCTCGCTCATTTCGGAATTTAAAATGGTTATTATTTATTTTTTTTATTTGCACTTATTTATGAAGAAACTCCCATCTCTGGAGGAAATTATTTAATAAAACAGTGAGTTAACAATTTTTATTTTTAAATTTGAAATATTCCTATTTCAAAATTAAGTAAAATAACACCAAGAAAACTTACTTGTTTTTGGCTTTTTTGGTGTTTGACCTTTTAAAGGTGGTTGATTTACATTTTCAGTTTCCTCTGGTTCACCCAAGCGGTTACGCTTAATGCTTAGCCTTTCACTTATCCTAACCGGCTTAGGGTTGTCATCTTTTGTTTTAATGTCTGTGTATATTTCAGTTAATGATTTTGAAGAAGTCTGCTTATCAATAATCTCTTCACACTTATCCTGCTCCAAACACATATTACTTTGCTTATTGTCTGCATCAAGGTTCAAACATTCTAGACTGTGAAAGAAAAAGAAATGCTATTGAATTAACAATTTAAACATACATTTTATTTCAAATAAAAAAAGAGTAATCAGTATTCAATTTCAGAATCACAAAAGGTGAGAAATAACTAGAATGATTGAGGTTGAAAGCTGTGGTTTTTTTTAATTTCCTGCATTAAGCATATTCAGCCTATTCAGATATTGAAAATCAATCAGATAGCTAATAGATCTAGTAATAAAAGTACTTAATATAGATATTAATTTATTATGCTTTGAAATGGAAATGCCCAAGATTATTCCTTCTCCCTGCACATAATCATAATGAATTCCATATTAAAAGTCTGTCCAATATATTGTATGGGTTGGGCCTATACTATGCCATTGCAACATCAAGGACTCCTTAAAGGAAAGTTTTAAAAGTTATAAAAATCTTTCTGTGCCATACTAGTATACTTAAGTAGATCCTATATTTATAATAATCAAGGCCACCACATTCAACCTCAATTTTGTGAAATGTAGTGAAGCACCACTCCATTTGTGATTACTAGCTCAAGCTCTACTTATTATATTATATGTATGAGACTATCTTATTAATTATTATGCTTAGACATGGTACTTATTAATCATTCATCTCAAATGTACAGTATTTAGTATTAGTGTATAGCCTACATCTTTGCATGTAGCCCTTTTACTTTTCCTCTAGTAAGTTTGTAATAATAAATAAGCTTACGGCCTGATTCTCAAAATATTCAAATGATTATTTCAAGAGTCAAAGGATTTCGTATTTCAAAAATGCACTACTACAGACTACAGATTAAATTGCTGGCCCTGTGTAATTACCAATTATTTAAAAAATGAATTCATCTAAATCTATATTGACTATTGTCATGTTAATTGAATTGTAACATAATTCATATACAAATTGTATCAAATCAAAATCAAATCCTATCCTATTCCTAATAATTAGGCTAATATTAATAAATTGTAAATCTGGCATTCATACTTTTCACATTAACTGAATGATAGTAAAATTTAATATATTTTATTTAACTAATTTTAATAAGATTGTGAGCATAAACTATAAAGCACCTAATAAAGCATAAAGATGGCTGCTGCCTGCAAGATTTTGTCTTGGAAGCTTCTCTCTACTCTTCTTTTACTTTTCAATTATTCTAATTTTACATTGAAAGAAGACTTGATTTTAAAAAGGGGTTGCAATAGCAAAGGCCTTTAAGTTAAACTTACGAAAAATTTATTCTGTTGCCAATTACATAGTAAAGCGTAAAGCCATTTTTGGGGTAACGACATAATACAAAAAACTCTGTATTAAATGGTGGAAAATGGCGTTTGGCTTTGCGATGTTTTAAGGAATTTTTATTATTTAAAACCCTTTACGTTTATTTAAATTCCCATTAGAACTAAAATAGTCACCGCTTAACATCTCGGCTACTACTTTCATTCTCCTCGAGCGACAATTTACGACGCTTTGGTGCCATGATTTTAGAGAAAGAAGTGACTCGAACACAGTAATCTCAACAAGAAACAGGAAAATGATAGGACATTATTATCAGTTTTGGTGGCCAGGACTTTGTAAATTGTATCAACAGAAAAAATACTTCACCATTTAGAAACTTCTGAAACCAAACAATTCAGTGTATTTGATGCATGATTATATAAATGTTTTAATTATAAATGTATATTATGCACGCAATATCAACTTTTTTGTTTTATTTTGTGCTTAATAGGATCTATAAGATCTATTGAGCTTTTAATTTACAAGATATCCTTGCGATTTATTTCATGAATGCAATCCTTTAATTTTTTAATTATTATCAAGTTATTTGCATGAGGTTGGAGAATAAAATGAACGCAAATTTAATTATTTACTTAGGGATCGTTTGCAAATTAAGTCACGCAAAAAAGACATTTTAGACCCCCACCCCCTCCAGTCTTAAAGTGTCACAAATTCTTTACCCTTCTTAGGGTAGTGTCACGTCACACCTAAAAAAAAATCAAAACATAGATAAAATGTTCATAACTAAACTAAGATTTTATTTTATTCTTTAACATTTTCCTATAACGGATTAAGATGTAGTATTATTAGAAAATTGTGACACGAAACAATGAAGTCATCCCCGCTCCGAACGTAAAATGGACACAACAGTTTTTGCGCAAAAGCTGTTTCGCGACTGAGATTCACGTTACCTATAATACATGAGGCAATTTCGACCTAAAATTAATGTTTTAAAAATTAATTGAATAAATATTTTTCAAACTTAGAAAACTTTAGATTATTAAAAACTAATGTGACGTCACAAAATTTTGAACCCCCCCCCCTCGCCCTGTCACAAAGTGTCACAAATTCTCGACCCCTCCCCCTGAGCGTGGCGTAATTTGCGAACGACCCTTTATGGGATTTATTTTCATTGAAGTTTGGAAAACTATTGTTGTTGTTTAAAATTAAATATTAATTTAAATAAATCCATCAACTTTCTCATTTTGATCCCTGTCATATGTATTAATTTTACGTCAAGATGAGTATGCTAAAAATGTACAATAATAATATTATAATAACTGTTTCGCGATTCGATTGATAAAAGATTTCAATTAGAATTGATCATCAATCAATTTGATAAGCAGCATTTTCAGCTTTCACTGCGGAAAGAGGTTAGATTCTATAACAAATTAGATATGTTGAATTATATCGCCAAAAATAAAGAATAGAATTTTAATAATTATATTTCCTGCACCCATGGCGTGGGCCACGGGTGTATGAAGACGGGAGGGGAAATGGTAATCCGACCAGGGCGGCATTTATTTCGGGGTGGCATCTTCTTAGGCCCCCACTTCATTTACTCATTTGAATTTGTATTTGAATGCTTATTCAAAAACTTAAGATACTCCACTGCCTGGGAGAATAAATATGATTATTTTCAGTAGAGCTGACAATTATAGTATAGTTTCTAGCTGCTATTATTCTCCCATGGAGTAGCCAGGTGTTGCTCTATCGTAACAATGGGCATCAGGGACATCCTTTGGGTAGGGCATGGGGGAATATGGCCCTCACCCATTCGATTTCGCTGGTTTTATTTAAATTGGTATGTAGGCTACTGTGGCGCCTTCAGTAATAAACAACTTAACAAGCCGACCAAGTTTTGGTGTTGCCCCCTTCCCCCTGAAAAAAACCTGAAATGACGCCCCTGATGGGCATAGTCTATAGTAGCTCATTTATCATTTTCATCTTGCGGAACTGATATACCAGACAAGTCAACATCATCCTTATGTAACTATTCAGCACTTAAAATCGAAGCATTGTCTGTGTGAGCAATAGTTGCCATAAACTCTCTCTGTCTTTGAGTTGGTATAGTTGTTATTGAACACCGATGAGTTTTTTTTTTTTTTTTTTATTTGAACACCGTGTACCATGATGTGTTAATCATTCTAGGGAGCGGATTAAGAGAAAAATGATAGGTGAAAGGATGCCCACTTTATTGCCATAAACTCTCTCTGTCTTTGAGTTTTTATAGTTGTTATTGAATACCGATGAGTTTTTTTTTTTTTTTTTTAATTGAACACCGTGTACCATGATGTGTTAATCATTCTAGGGAGCGGATTAAGAGAAAAATGATAGGTGAAGAGATGCCCACTTTTGACTTCTCTTGCACTAACAAAGTGTGCTAACATTCTGACCAGCCATCTGTAGTGCACAGACAGACACATATTAAATACATCTTATATTGTTAAAAACCTAAACATATATGACTATTAACACTCATTAAATTGTTTTAAAATAATGTAAGAACCAGTCAATTTTTAAGATTAAAATGTTAATAGAAAAAAAATGATTGTTGACGTCAACTAATCTAAGCCCCCTCCCACCCCCTTGTCAACAACTGTCAAACATTTCCACCCCCACCCCTATTTTGTTGACGTAATTAATGGACGCCCCCTTTAACTAACATACTAACATGAAAATTTTCTCACAGGGGCTATCCATAAATGAATTCACCTTTAACTACGATTTTGAACCCTCCCCCTCCTTTCCTCATCATGAAAAATTCACCACACAATTTAGACACCATCCCAATAGATCGTCAAAAATTCATGGACCAACACACACAAAAAAGCCTAAATTTGTGAGATCATTTATGGGTGGCCCCAGTCAACTATAAAGAACATATTTATTTATATATTCACACCGTGAAATATTTGCCATATATCATCTCTATTGACTCTGCAGGATTTGCGGTAATAGGAGTCAAATTAAAATAGAGTATTTAATAATGAAAATAGCGTTGTATTTTTTTTTTCTTGTTAGTTCATGGAAAAATCCACATATCTTTATTTAAGTTAAGTAAAGCTGTAATTATAAACAACTAATTTAAATACATGTTTATATATATATATAAGTATATATATATATATATAAATAAATAAAAATATATATTATATATATATACATATTATTTGTATTACTATATCGTCATAACTGGTTACTACTAGACGCTAGGGTCTTATTTTTATTATTTTTAATTATCCTATATTAAACATAATATTTAGATTTTTTTTAAATGTTAAGATTCTTTATCTACAATTGAATTTTATTATGAAATGTAATATGAGAATGAAATAAATAAATGAATTATGAAGCATGTTTTAATAATTCAGTTACAAATTTTAGCTGTAGTGGCAGTGGTTTTTCGTATCAAACTTTAAGATTAATAAGAAAGATATTCCCGAGTCCAATGCCAATGCTCGTTGTCGTTATGAATTGACTATGATGATTCGATTCCCAATGAAGATAGAGGCTGCCAGATTCAGATAATCAGATACAAAAAGGGTTCTTAATAATTTTATTAGTTCATACTATTATGTAATCTATTTATGATACTCTGTTGTTTACTTAACTACGTGTTACTGCCGTTAACGGTGAAAATTAAAAATATTTCAAAAACCTTTGCCTGTGACTTCATATTATAATTTTTTTTAAATCGGATCTTGATGGTAAATGAAAAATAGCTTTTCATACAACTAGAATATCGCGATGAAACAGCCTTTACTTGACTTAACTTTTAAGTCAGATTATATATTATGATGACATTGCGATGAAACAGCCTTTACTTTAAGTCAGATTATATATTATGATGACATAATACATTTTTATTTGAACAAATAGGTTTTAGTTGTTATTATTTTTGTTAGTGTCTAATAACGCTATATCTTTATATATAACAAACTCATAACTTGGAAAACCGAAAGTGATGGGGGCGTGGTCTAAGGCGGATGTGGCGATTGTTGACAAATAGAAACGACTTAAAACTAAGAAAACCGCTCGTTGATTGGCTACATAAATTGTATTGTCGACATTCGCTATTTTATTTAAATTTATTTCGAAGTTTATTTATTATTTTTTTTTGTCCAAAAAAAATATTTTTCTTTTAAATAAATAAATAATTAACAAAAATATAATTTAGTGGTCTAGAGTGATAAATACGTCGCATATCTCTTGTAATACAATCCAGTTACTTATGGTGTAGTTCTTTTATAGTTTCTTATTTCATTAGTAATACAGGAAGTGACTAGGACTAGGTTTAGTGGCACATGGGCATGGGCATGGGATGGGGCGAGCCACAATTCTCGCTTTCCCCCTTACACGAAACTACATTTGCTGAAAAAGCCATCCCTCAATATAAAGAACAAATTTCCCGCTCGGGACCACTAACTACGCCCTCCCCCCCCCCCCCAGATACGGGGCAGTAAAATGATAAATAAATGTAGAACTATAGAATTAAAGCATTTACAAAATAGAAGTCATAGTCATACTCATAACCATACTAGACATGTCTATATCTCTTTCAAACTTATTGCACAAACTAATCAAAATAAAAAGAAACATTATGCAATGCCCCTTTTTTTTTTTTTGGTGTGTTTGTAATATCCGTCCATCTTAATGTGACGATGGTGTAGACTTCCCAGGACGAAATAAAAGGTCTGGCCTTTTTGTTGGGAGAATTATCTGGTTCCCTAGTCTATAAATTCCCACTCTCTTTGCATCTGGTTAACCCCCTTAAAGTTTTAAATTAAACAAATGAAAGCTTCATTGCCATTTAATAATATTAAAAAAATATTTGCATGAAACAACTAGGTCAATGTAATCTAATCTACTTAAGAAAATCTGCAAACTTTTGAGCCGAAGCTCATGAAGTTTTCCCCAGCGCACCCCCGCTACTGCCAACCGGCTTTCAACCACTCCCCCAGTGATCTTTATTCCAGTCAGGCGTGCAGCGGCACGCCGGGGGCATTCCACCCATGAGACTGCCACACCCACCGTTACACTCGATTGACTATGCAAGTGAGGCAGCATTAGAGAAGGAACACCAGGCCAGCCGGGGTGCTGCTGCCACAGCAACCGGGCCGGACTTTCTAGGGCTGGGGTGCAGTGTTTCTTTCAGAAATCTCCCCGGGGGGGGGGCACTTCAGATTTTTCGGGGGGGGGGCAGTGCCAGCAGTTCCAGTTGATTTATTGTTGGACATATTTTTGCTCCGGGGGGCACTTGGCTTTCCCCGGGGGGCACTGCCCCACCCGAGATATAGCTGAAAGAAGCCCTGCTGGGGTGGATATATTTTACGTCCCTATCCTCCCTTCCCACCCGGGGGGGGGGCGCTCAGGTGTTTAACAGACGCCCTCTAACAGGGTTTACGTGGTTTTCTGCGGTCAACTAGGTCAATCAGAGTTGTCCGACTTTTTCGAGACTACTTTTTGGTTTTGTCCTCCCCCACCTTGCATTGAAAGTTGATAAGTAAGAAACTATTCACATCACATCTTTAAGCCCTAAAATAGCCGAAGCCGACTGCAGTCGTAGAGGTTGCTGGGCTCAAGCAATGTTTCTAAGGTTAAGTGTTAATCTACATTTTTTAAACTAGCATCTCTTTCGTAGCGCTCCCAGCGTAGAGTGTTGCAAAACTAAATCAAAGTATTTGGTAAAATGCATTCCTTTATTTTGAATTTATCAAAAATTTTCTGGGGAATAAAAAGATGCAGACGTTATTAAGCTAAAGAAAGTGCATACTCTAAAGGGCACCACAAATTGAATGAATTTAGTTCATGTCCAGTTGGTGCAACGTTAAGTTTGTCTTTGATCATTATTATGTTATTTTCGGCGCTTCCTACGCGAAATTTTGAAATGTTACCTCAAAATTGTCTGAGAAACATATAATTCAAGTAGGCGTCAAAAGGCACCCCTGCATTTTCAATTTGCGTGCCTGTCTTCAGCATCGTCAATTTCTACACCCCTTTCCCACGCTGATCAATCACACTTCTATTGCTGCCCACAGATACTACTTACCAGCTAAGTGCTATTTCTTATTTTTATTTTTATACCGTTTTTTCTGTGTTTTGTTCGCTGACGAAGGCTTTCTGCCGACACGCTCGTTGTTTTGTTGCGTTAATTTTTTCAGGTTTAACCCTACTCTGTTTTACTCATTTTATTTTGATCAATGTTACAGTATAGGGTTGAATATAAGCTCGTGCCTAATGATTACCCTGGGGCACGCCACAGTTGGAGTGAATTCAGTTTATGTATGGCACTGGCACCTTAATGCCTTCCCAGACCCTTAAAAAATTCCATACCCTGATTAAAAAGTCTAATAGAAACAATGAATTCGTCTACACTCCAAAATTCACCTGTTGATTTTAAAATCACCCACACAAAAAAAAAAAAAAAAAAAAAAAAAATCCAGGGTGGGGTCCTCCCCACACTCCTTTACTGCTCAAGATTTATCTTACTTACTTATGCATTTTACTCCGTCTGGAACATAGGGTATCTACAAGAATTGTCAATTCATCTCGTCCCTGTGCTTTCTTGTCTAGTTGCTTCCAGGTATATCCCATACTTTGTGTGTCTGCCTCTAACTGGCGTCTCCATGTATTTTTAAAGGCTTTTTCTTTTTCCCTGTGGATTTCATGTTAGGGATTGTTCTGTGATATTATCTGGTCTTGTTGTTTTTTTTTGGAGAGTGTGCCTTATCCACCTCCATCTTTTCCTTATGATGTCTTAATCAATAGGCCCCTAATATACCATTTCTAGTAAGTCTTTATTGACGATGGTATTTGGCCATTTGATGTTCAGGATCTTTCTAAGGCAAGTGTTTATGAAGTTCTGTACTTTTACAATTATGTTCAAATCACTTCCTTTCCACTCCTCTTTACTTTGTTTTTGTCTGGTTTTAGCGCCCTCTCCTATTTTTTTTCTTTATTAGGTAGGACATGTATATTTATATTATGTAAATTTAACTTATACCTATTTAAATGTTTGTTTCTTTGTACTGATGAAGGCATGTGCCGAAACGTTTACTTGCGTATAATGTATAATTATTATTAAAGCGTAACTTATATTGTTATATTGACACAATGTGTTCGTGTCTTATTAATTTACTCCATAGAGTAGGACTGTTTTGACATTTGTGTTGAAATAGCTGTGACTTTGGTTTGAGTCAGCTTTTTGACTTCCATATGTTATTTAATAGCACAAATGCTGACCTAGCCTTTCCAATTCTAGCCCTGACATCCGCGTCGGATCCACCATTTAAGTCAATGGTGCCGCCTAAGTATATGACAGCCACCTCAAGTCTGGCGCCCGGGGACATATGCCCCATATGCCCACCTTAGATATGCCTCTTTTCACTGGGACTGCCCCCCCCGCCCCCTTGGGGAAATTGAAGAAACACTGGTCCCATCCATCTGGGGTGCTGGTATTATTTTTGCTTGTCTGGGTTATTCTGGGGATATATTGCATAGGGGCATCATTAGGGGTTGGGATGTTGGCTGCACTGCAAGACTCATTGAAAGTGAGATGAGGTGGGGGAGGGGCGGACATCAAAATTGGAAAAAATATAACTTTGACAAATCTCTTTTGAGTCGGTTTCAAAATCAAGAATATATCTGATGATCTGGAGGTAGCACATTTCGCGTCAGTTCTTCTAAGTTTGACTTATTCCTCTCCACCTTCTTTTCCAGATTTCTTGGTCCACTGGGATTGGTGCTGTCATTTCGCTTACTGGTACTGCTGTGTTAAGGATTTTGTGGAACCACATGATGTTAAGGATTTTACGCAGGCATCTATTCATGACAGATTTTTTCCAGCTTTCTGATCCATACAGACTTAACATTTTAGTTTCAAATTCTATTTTTTTTCTTTTTCCATAAGAGTTCCAAATATTTTTAAGTAAAGCAAAACCCCTCACTGTTAATATTGTGCTGGTTTAAAATTGTTAGAATGCTTACTTCTGTGTTTGTATTTAATGTGATAAAAATGAATATGTACACTGTAGGATTACTGGTAATCAAAACACATTTCCATTTTTTTAAATTAATAAAATAATCTCAGTTTCCCTTATCTAAAAGTAAAAGGTAGGCAGTTATTATAAGATCTAATAGTATTATAATATCTAATATTGTTATTTTAAAATTAAAAACTGAACACAATAGAATGTCTGTAATGAAAGTTTAATTTGTAGGATATGCGTGTAATATCAACATCAATCATATTTTGTATAAAAAATAAATATTTATCTACAATTTTGAAATAATGAAAGTGGTTATTTTCTGATTCAAAATACCATTGGAGAGTCTACTAATACTTTCTCACTCAAATCATGTCATCAACAAAACACAACTTATTGTTTATAAAATTTATAGTGTGCTTTAAAATTTCACAGGAACATAGAGTTTCATATTTTAAAACTGTGTCAATACATTTACATTTTAAATTTTATTATCTAGTAGATTATAATGACACAGATTAAAGAAAAAACATAAAATGCTTTTAAACTTATTTTGTCTCCAGTCTAAATGTTCAGCTTGATAAATATTAACAGTGCATCATTAAAAATAATAAGCAAAATAAAAGTGAGACTTTCCCCGCTGTTGATTCCTAGACACATTTGTTTCTTTTCTTCTAGAAAATCATTAATTCCCCAGGTAGTGCGTCTCTCTGCAGTAAGGTTTATATTCTCGGTTCTTTCTATATTGTTTTACTAAAATCACTTGTAAAAAAAATGAGATCTATCAAATAATGTTTAGCATAATTTTGTGAATGATTTAGTTCAAAGAATTTGTAAAAGTTTTCTTAATAAATACATAAATGTACCAGTATCAGTGAAAGACTTTTTGACAAAAGAATACATTTTAATTTGAGAACAGGAAAGTGGCACATAGAATTCAAATGTAATTATGTAAATATATCTTGTTCACTGTTATGTCTTTACTTAAAATTAATGATACAAATAATTATAATATCTTTTTATGTACCGGTTACAATTAAATACATTAAAATAAATTAATAAAGTAACATTGTTTGTTATAAATATTACTCCATATTTTGTGTTCCAGTTTTCAGGCTCCCAAAATTATACCCCATATATATCTCATTGTAATCTTTGAAACCACTTGCCTAAAACAATTTGTAGATGGGATAATAGAGTTTTTTCCCCCCCCTCAGAATAGGACAATAATATATTTATATTATAATAACATTATATTGGAAGAGGGTGCTGGGTGGCCGAGTGGTCTAAACTGTCTCAAACCAAATGGCTGGTGGTCTTGAGTTCAATTCCCACCAAAGCAACATCTCAAGCACTCCGGGTGGATGGGACTTGGACGGCAACCCATATAAGAGAAGGCAAACTCTGAATTTAAACCAGGAGCCAGAATGATCAACAAATTGATCGTGGGCCCCTCAAATATAATAATAATAAGAAGAAGATAAATAAGGAAAATTATTAGTGTTTCCAGCAAAGGCATCTCTTAATTTAGTTACATTTTAATAGTATTGTAAAATTTATTTCAGACTTTAATTAATTTTCTATATACCGTACATGATTCTATATGTAGGACCATACAAATTGATCACAAAGTACATAAAAATAACTTTGCTCATTTACAGATGTAAATGACAGTTTTGTCACATAAATTTTAATAAAATTGCATATATTCAGCATTATATTTAATATTTTATCACCAAATAAATAATATACACATCAGAGCAATTATGAGTATTATGATGAAAGATTTTACAAATGAAAAGTTTTCAATAATAGAATCAATAGATCTGAACTCTGTGATGGCATTAAAATTATGAAAATTGTACTTGATAAATCTTCATAGAGGAAGTCAGAATCATAATTTAACTGAGTAACATCAAAACATTCCCCATGGATGTGAAACATGAAGAACAACCAAAATTAATTACAGGTTTTTATCAACTGACATTTGTGGAAGATCCTAAAAACAAAATGGCTTGAAAAGATCCCATATGAGATCATTTAGAAAAGGGGGCTCAACACAGAGAGTGAGAATAATGGTAAGAGGTAGAATGAGCTGGAAAGAATAGCTCAGAGCAAAGATTAATAGAGATAATTTGTAAATGCATTATGCAAAACAAGGAGCAAATAAATTAGAGAAGAACATCATAACATAGGGGTGGTTCATTCAGTGTCATTTGTAACAGGCATACCTATCACTAGGGTCGGCTCATTCAGTGTCATCTGTAACAGACACGCCTAAACAAATTGAACAAAATTGAAAGTATTGACGGCATGTCTAAACCATGCCAGGTAGGCTCGATGATGTTCGATCTTGGTTAAATAAATAATTTTTTTTTTTAAATGTAGCTCTGCATTATTAATCTCTTAATTATTCATTCCATGGAAAGGGGTGTGGGGGGAGTGGGGGGATGACAACTTATTTCTCATCTAGGACTAATGCCCATAGATTTATTTTTTTAACAAGAGCTGTTGAACTCACACATGTTGAAAGTATAGGTTTGGTAATGTTATGCTTTTCATGAGCTTAAATTTTAGTTTGTACAATTGGGCAAATTAAACTTTGCTGCGGTGTAGTATTTTGCAGTAGTGTTTATTTGACGCCAAAAATAGCTAGCTGCACCTTACAGAGTAGTATATATTAAAACTGATAAGAGCATCATTTTTCTAAACATTTAAGCATATTTCCTGGAACCTTCACAAAGAGACACTTATGAGGCCCAGCTGATAACATATGAAGGGTTCAAGGGAAAAACCAGTGATGTCAGTTTTTCAAAATTTCTATGTTATCTCCCTTGTGGCTAAATTCCATTTAAAAGAATAATATGATACATAGGTCCAACTGAAAAAGCAGTGTAGTCAATAAATAAATACGTAGACATCTTGATATTTTCATACTTTTATGAGGAATTTTCAAACTTTAAATTCAATTTTCTCCAAACTCTCAAAACCTGACATCACTGATTTTTCTGTTGAGCCCTTCATATCAAAACTCGATATCAAGTTTTTGATACATTTTGCCTTAGAAAAAAAATGTCAGAGTATTGATTATTATTGATTATTAAAGCACAAGGTAAATATTTAGTTCACCCATGAAAATGATTAAGACATGTAGGCTTCAGTTCTAATGCATTAAAAATAATTCCATTACTTCCATTTAGAACTGATAGCCTGCCGTTATAATAAATAGTGAGGTAAACATGGAATTCTAGAGTTATCTCTGAGTAATGCTGCCCCCAAATCTTGTCAAGGAAGCCTCCTTAGAAGCAAATGGTACAAGTCTGCGGAAAATCAACAAGTAGAACACAATAGTTACAACAATGAAGCCACAACAGCTGCCAAAAGTAACTTGAGGTCCAAAGGAGTCATAAACCTGTGAGACATACACAGGACCGACTGTACGAGCCAAACTACCTGAGGCAGTAAGCCAGCCCATCCACAGACCCTACGAAAATGAGAAAAGCATTAAGATAAAAATAGATATTAAAAGAAGAAATGGCTGATATTCAATGCACAGGTCAGTTCATTTAAATGACTGATATTCAGTGCACAGTTCAGCTCAATTTAATGACTGATATTCAGTGCAGAGGTTGATTCATTTAAATGAGTGATGCACAGACAAATTCATTTAATTTAAGTTACAACTATTTTGCATCCTATACATGTATGGGTACCCAGCTCTGTCTGAAAATTTACAGTGTAATTTGGTGAAACTACCATAAAAAATGTGTGAACATTTCTGTACATATTTGTGTTGATTTGTGTTGAGGTATCAACAACCAAATGTTCAGATTTCTTTTAGAATTATTTTAAAACCTTCAACCAGGCTGCTTAGTTAAATGAACATATTCCAAAAAGGAAAGTGAGATCCTTACCTGAGGCTTTGGTCCCAACACCTTGGAGTAGATGGTGTAACTCAGCATATTACACATGGGATAGCCAATACTGATAAGTATTGTAGCACACAAAAATTGAGCAATATGTATAACAGGAACGTAGTCACACCATGCATAATTCCAAGGACATCCCTCAGGTGTGTATGTGGTGTTGGTGACAATGGCCGTAACAATAGTCTGAGGTGTAACTGAGCTATCCTCATTCTTAATACTTAAATAAGTGTCAGAACCAGGTAGTTTCATCAAGTGATGTACTAGAGTAGAGTTTATTTCTTTGAAGTGTTCTAGGGTAAATGCTTGTGATGAACTACTGTCACTCACTTTATAGAACAGATAGTATGGAAGACTGTATATCCCTTGATATGGAATAACATTGGATTTATTTTGTGGTGATATTGCTGGGAAAGAATTAAAAGGATATATTATATTAAAATGACTTTTCCATATTTAAATGAAGTGATTAAGAATCTTTCAGAACTGCAGTTATTACAATGTTAAAAAAAATTATAAAAGTTTATGAATTGGTCAGTAAATATATTTTAAAAAAAATCCTTTTAATAACTAATGCTGAGTTAATTTATAAAATTAACATAGTATCCAGAAATTTGTTTAAAAAAAAGTTTGTTAAGACAGAAATTTGTCCAAATGGAAGTTTGTTGAGAATTAAATTTGTTAAAGAAGGGAGATTTATTAATTAATTTTTTTTTAAATGCATTTTTAGGGAATGTGCGAGTGAGAAATGGAGAAACTGTAAACTTTTTTAACACATGTATTTTTGTTGGTTTTCCATTATTTCATTTTAAATGAACTTCAGTTTGAAAAAATTTCCCATTGAGTAATTTTCCATCTAACAAATTCATTTTGAAAAAATTGGTGGTTATCAATTAACACAGCTAATTTAAAATTATGATAAAAAAACTATTTCTATTGATTGTTAAGCATACAATGGCTTATGTTAAGCATAATACATAAAAAAAACTCACGTGCAAGTCCTCGAGGAGGCAGGTTGTGTCCCCATGGAATGTAAACAAAATATCCACAAAGACAAAATATGAAGCCAATCAGCAGCAAGTATCTTTCATTGTATCTGAAATGGAAATAAATACAACTAAACTATTAAAGTGAAATTACTGATTCATTTAAAAAAAAAGAAATCAAAATAGCAACTCATTATCTTATGGCCAAAAACTAAAATGAATATAAAAATATAACTTCTGGTGAGGTTAAAGCTTGCTATAACTGTGACTACAATACGACTGAAGAGCTTTATTAAAACATCATATTATATAAAATAAAGTTTTGCCCATATACAAACTCTCTTGCAGTAATACAAATGTTATTACTGGTAGATATTGTTACAATGCCATTTTAGTTTGACATTGTTCACTAAATTTAATTATCCAGCCCATGGTCACACCAACACATAAAAGGAAGAGTAGACGACGTTTTAATTTAGTTATTATAAAAGATTAGGAGTGGTAAAAATGTGTAAGTTCCAAACTATTTCGTAACTCATATAACTGTGCATAATAGTAAAATGAAACAAATCTTATAATAACCAACTTTTTAGCCAGTTGCTTAGCCACCAAGAAGACAATGATGGACAGAAAGCCAGCAACTCCCAATGTGATTCCTTGGTATAATGTTGCCTTTGATTTACTCCAAGCATACATGTGCATAGTTAGAGGTGTACCAATACTGTGTTGATAGAGATAAATATTTTTATAAAATACCATCACAGGGTATTTTTATTACATGATATCACTTTTATAAAGCCAAAAGAAATTCAAACCAAAAGTATCCTCAGTAATTAATTTCTTATACTTATAGTACCGTAATGTGATAATTAAAAGGTTAGAAGAACATTTAGGACACTACACTCACGTTTCAAACACTGTAAACATGAATAGAACAACAAAGAAGAGAAATATGGATGAGATGACAGCCACATAATCAGGTTTGTAGTCAAACGTTTCCATGGAATTTTTTAGCACTGTAAATAAAAAATGAAAAGTATTTAAATTGAATCTAAAAAATGTTGAAACATCTTGAAATCATTTGGGATTTCCTTTTTAGTGAATCATTCACTACAACATGACATCCCCTGGGATATTGACATATGACATTACATGAGTTATGAAATCCCCTGAGACATTGATATATGACTTCGCATGAGTTTACCTAAATTCTCTAATTTTGTTAGCATGTCTAAGGTAATATTTTTTTAAGTAGGTACAGCTTTTTCTTATTTTAGAAATACACAGTAGGTCCAAGTTTTACACACAAAAAAAGTTAATTTCTCATTTTCTATAACATATGCCAGCCTTTAAACAATAGTCCTACACCCTACTTGACGACTTTTAAAAAATAGACCAACAGACTGTCCTACATCTTACCTGCCGGGCTTTTAACAACAGTCTTAAAGACAGCCCTGCACCACAACTGTGGCTCTTTATTGATTAATATATTAGTCACCTCCCCTCAAGATAAAAATCAGCCTATTTACCGGAGTTCAACCGTCACGCATGAAGCTCGCTGCCTGACAGCCTTTTTTTTCACTCACTAATAATAATGTTAAACGTGGAAGGGGGGGGGGGGGTGGGGGGGAAGAAGAGGAAGCAGGATGCACCAGAAGCAAAATATATATATAAGAGATAACATTAATCTTTGAATATAATTGACATGGGATAAAAAGTTTGCTCTATTTTATTTATCCGGCTATTAGCAGGAAAAACATTTTTTCAAAACATTATAGAAAACTATGGTACAAATAAAAGTGAATTGCAAATGACAAAATCTGTTGCAAAAAATTTGCTACACTTACACCTAAATATATTTTGTATCAACATGATACTGTCTCCATACATTTCAACCGGTCCAAGAACACGACATGCATAATCCCAGAATTACTTTAATTAATCCACCAACACTACCCACCACTGTTATCATCCTCATCAGCTGTGTCCTTGGCTTGCACATTGCATTGCATATCATCATCATAAACCCTATGCTCTTTGAAAACAAAGATCAGCAGCAACAGATTGATGACGGCGACAAAAGATGCAAAGAAAGCAGGAGCTGTGTACATGTTGAAGTGGAAACCGATACTTTCTATCGGGCCTGGATATCCCACTGGCACCAGGGCAGCTTGGATGACTTTTGAGGGGGAATCAAAATTTTAAATTTTTACTTTTAAGGTTTACCGTATATAAAGATTCATATTTTTTAAAATTATTTTTCCTATATGTGACTTAAAAAAAAAAAATATTTAAACCTTTCTTCTAATTCTATATGTCACATAAAAAATATTTGTTAAGGGCAGTGCTTTCTTTTGTAAGGAAAAAAGGGGATGGAACTCTCATTTTTTAATTTTTTAAAAAGATACATTAAGATAACTTCAGTTAAATTCCGCCAAAAATAGGTGCAGGAATGCACTCTGTGACAAAAAAGGAAGCACAGGTTAATTGCAATAATTTTCTTAAGTTTATATTCCACTTTGTTGACAAAAGATTTTGCATTACATGATTGCTAACTTTGTCAAAAGAATTTATTTAACCAATCCTCTGCTGACAATAATATTCCATTTCAAATTAATACACATAAGTAATTGATATATATTTAATTATTGTCAGTGTTTAATATATATAAAAAGTCTTATTTTCTTTAACTCATTTATAAATAGCTCGTAATGGATCAAACCATAAAAAAAAAAAGCTAAAATATCAATTCAGTGAATAAACATACTTAAGCTATATTGTAACTAATTCTTCATAAATCATTTACTTTCTAAATTCATTAATCTCACCTGGCCCTAGAATGAAACCCATGGCTTGAAATATGCTCAGGTTTGCCATGCTACTGGTTCTTTCTTTCACTGTGGTTGCTCCAGAAACATAAGATCTGACTACAGCGACATTGCCTGATAAAAAAATTTCTTTCCTAGTCAATATGAAAAAAATTTGATAATGTTTTAAAATAAATAAATATACATATGATCCTTTATTATTATTTATTCTTATAAGCAGATTAGTGATGAGGATTTTGCAATACTATCATGAAACCATTAATTTAGATACTAGGTAGCAATGGATACACAACAAGGCTTGCCTGCACTGAAGCCAATCAGCCCTCTAGCCAGTATCATATAGTAGTCTTTATGAGATGGCATAGTCTGGAGGTACATGTAAAACAAGTTAGAAAATGTTGTCAAAAACAAACTGACAGTCAGTGGTTCTCGACTGGAGCTTCGAAGATTGGCCCACCCACCAAACACAGGTGAAGCTGCCAGCTGACCTAAGCTGTATGCTGACACGACCCATCCTAGGAAACTTTCGCTGACCAATGGATTGAGCTGAAAGGAATATTAAAGGTCGATCAGATTTTCACAACATAATTTGTAAGAGATTTTTACATACTTTTATAAGGTTTCTCCTTTGTTACTAGGAGGTTGTTATGAGATTTAACAAATTTATTTGGGTTTAAGTTGGCTTATTAGAGAAACAATGCGTAACGGAGGAGTGAAAGATCAGTATATTTAAAAAAAAAACTATACCAAAGCTGGAGTAAATAAAATATAGAAGTTGAATACTTTTTAAATTAAAATACAAAAAATCATTTAAATAGAGCTATAAAAATGTGGCTTACATACTCTTACAGTAATGTTTATAAATGCATAGATGGCAGAACAATATTGATATAAATAAGTATACACACAGAATGTTCTTGAAGGTCTGAAGGTCTCTTGTAAGTCTACTTGTCACAGTCAACCCTCTTGTATTTATAGCCAAGGAGAAATAATTTCCCAGAATAAAAAATCTAGAAGGTCAAGGGTCAGAGAGTATTCTCTAACCATCTAGTACAGTGGTGTCCAAAACAGGTAACATTGGAAGAAGACAAGTTGTTTTGGGCCACACATAAAATACACTAAAACAAACGATAGGTGATGTGATAAGCCAAACAAAAAAACATAGTATATAGTTAGCATAAACTTATTATGACTTCATTAATTTATGATTTAAAAAAATTATAAATGTAAAAGACAAGGACAATATGAGATGTTTAACATTCTTTTAGAGACACTAATGCTTCTATGTTTGGTTAGTTGGAAGTAGTTGAAATTCTCAGTGAGTTCTCAAGGTGCTCATCAGATATTTTGGTTCTTCTTTTGAAAATAGTTCCTCACAAGCATAGGTGCTCACAAATGTAGGTGATCACAAATATAGGTGCTCACAAATGTAGGTGATCACAAACATAGGTGCTCACAAATGTAGGTGCTCACAAATGTAAGTGCTCACAAATATAGGTCATCACAAACGTAGATGCTCCCAAATAGTGATGGCATGAATTAGGCATGACTATGAAGTGGGGGATATTTTTCTGTGGGAAGATATATCTCATAGAAGTCTATACAGAGACATGATCAAATTTTTCTGTTTAATTTCAGATTGTTGCTCTATGCATTCCTCTTGAAAATTGGCAGGTAATATGTTAATAGAATTGCAAAAATACCAAAAGACTTTTCCAGATAATTTTGAAACCTGTTCTCAAATTCCCTGCATCACATTGAAAAGAATTTTCAACGTGTTAAAATGCATAATTTTTGCCTCAGCCTGAGATTGCCATAGTTCAAGTTTCATTTCGATCACTGTTATAGACTGAAACATTGTATTGATCAGTTGGCTTTCTCCTTGAACATTCATTCTCAGCTCATTTAAATGAGTGGTCAAGTCTAATACAAATGCCAAATCTGTGTTGCCAGTTTTCACCATTCAAATCTGGCAAAACTTTGTGATTACACAAAAATGTTTCACTTCCCCAAGTCATAAAATCTTTTCAACATTTTACCTCGACTTAGCCATCTTACTTTTGAAAGTAAATGATGTCCCCCTTAGTAAGCATCCATAAATTCCTTTAAGTGGATATGATTCAATTCCTTGGCCCGTTTAAAATGTTACAGCTTAGATAAAACAATGCATGATGTTATCCATCTTTAAAGGTCGTGAAATTTCATCATATGGCAATTGTATTGTCTTACGGCCCTACAACTTGGCCAATACATAAAAACTGTAAAAAATACAGGTAAACCATACATGTTGGCATATATGTTTTAGGACATAAAATGTATTACCCTGCAAGGTATAAGAGTTGTAGAAATTGTTTTAAACAAGTGTATAACACCGGGTAAGATAGTGGGGCACAATGGGAAAATTCCTTTGTCTTACCCAGCAAGACATAGGATTGTAAAGGTTAAAGGCCTATTTAGTCAAGTTTGTAACTTTATGATCTTTTGTTGGGTCACATCCTGGGCTGAAGGTTGAACACCCCTGGTCTAGTAGGTTGGGGAAAACCACAGATACGTAGACAAGTAACGTCACTGAACTCATTACACAGCCAGAGAAAGGGTATGGCTTTTGTGACAAAAGAATGCTAAGTTAAAAATAGCACTCATGGCGAACTACATAGGACAAGGGGTTATACTACCATATTTAAATTTATATTTAAGAGAGATATTATATCAGACATTGAAAAAATAGTTTATGTTGTTGATGACAGATTGAGCTGGTAATATCAATATTGGTTGATTTATTTATTGAAAATTTCACTGATTAATATTTTTAAAGTATACAACAGAAGTTGTGGATTAAAATGTATGGATTGAGATTACTCCACACTGGTAATATTGTAAAAGCAAAGCATGCAGAACTTTGTTTTGCTTTTTTTACACTCATTTTCAAAATTGGCTAATAGTAATACATATCTCTATAATAGAATTTCACATTTAAATTGTTATTCTAGATAAAGTTCTTATAACTTTCAATTCAAAAAAATAAAAATTTCTGTCAAGCCCATATATAAATTGATCCCATTAGGCTCATTAGCATTCCTTTCACTGACATCATCCCTGTATCATTAGGTTATTCTTATCAATCACATTTACATGATTTAGACAATCTTTAATAAATCTTTATTTCAGTCATTTTTTTCCTCAGCAATGTTTCATTACTTTTATCAAGTTCCTTTACATTTCATTGACAATTTTTTATGACCATATTCAGAATAATTACACCTAGGTATCTGACTTTTTTTAAATTGAAAATTAAAAAAACCCCACTTCTATAGCCTATCAAATTATAACTGCAACATCAACACCAGGAACAGAAACATTGCAAATCCCATCTACATGCATAGGAGCCAAAATGATCAATAAATTGATCGTGGGCCCTTAAGATATAGAAGAAGATATATTGCCTTTTCTGCATATCAAAACCTGACCAGATGCACTGATAAGAGTAAGAGCTGAGGTTAAATATGATACAAGCTGTACCCTTCTATACAAAAGGTCACACAATATTAAAATACTTTCCTCACAGCAAGATTCTTTAATAATTTTAAAATAATTAGTAGATTTCTTTCAACTAAAAAGTATAATTATTTAAAGGAAAGTAAATGCTTTGAAGCCCTTAAGCATTATTACACCAAGTAAAAATATAGATATTTAACAAGGGATATGTGTCCCTTGAATAATTAAATAATTTGATAAATCTTGACATTCATAACAAATTCCAGCCTTAATTATTTACATGACAAAGGCTAAACAACTTTATTAGTAAATACACACATACTTTTTTCTAGTTGTAAGATAAAAAATAGTGATAACATAATCACACAATTTTAAATTTAAAAAAAAAACAACACTTGATTCTAGATAAGAGGTCAACTGTGCATCATTAGGCATTGCCATTTGAGAATATATTTTCTGCATTGAACTTAATTTTCATTTACATTGAATAATACCATATTCAAATCAGTTCCTGACAACAGAAAGTGTGTGCGTTTATTTTTTCTTCTTCCAACTCTAGATATTAACAAAGAGGTGTTTTTAATTATTGAAATAAGGAAAGTTTGCATGGTTTCTTAAGCTCAATGAGAAAATTTAAAAACATTACCTATTTATAAATGCCTGAGAATGTTAGCAGTTTTAATATGGTGAACTCCACATTATTTGATAAACAGAAATGCCATTCCATGGTCAACCTTTTAACTTGTTATGTTTTTTTAATTACTAATATTCTTTTTCCACCAATGAAAAATAATTAATGCAAATTTTTTTTTTTTTACTTGAAAAAAATTACACTATTTAATGTTGACTGTTTGGTTCTGTCAGCTTATTTCTATAATATGGAGAAGGTTTAAACGTTTGTAAAAAATAAAATATTTTTAAATCTTAAAAAACAAGGTACAATTACAAATGCCTATAGGGGCACATGTTATTGAGGTATAAGATATGATTATTGCATATAGCTGTTAAGCCATTTTTCAACTTAAAACTATGATCCATTTGCCAAACAGCTAAATCTAAACATTATATAGTTCTATCACTTAAATGTGACAAACATATTTTACTCTTTTTCTGTACAATGAAAACTCCAAGGTACATGCATTGGCATCACAAAGATTATGACAATCATTTCAAATCTGTTACATTTTTATTCTTTTAAAGGAATAATTATTTTTTTTAAATAAAATTTTAAGATGGTTGTCGGAGATATTATTTAAATACAAATACAAAGCTTGACTATTGATAAGAACAATAAATAAAAACAAATTTAATATAAGTATTTACCACTTGTAAGAAAGGCCACAGTGAGGACATAGTAATTGTGAATGTGACAGAACCCAGGAACATGGTGAGGTACATGACTCTGATTGAGCGCCAGCGACTTCTATAAACATTAGGAGGCTCAACCACAGTGCTTGGTACTCCAATGGCACTGTAAAAAAAAAAAAAAGCATAAATAATGTGCACAATTTGGGAGCTTAATATCTTTCATAATAATTCCCATGTGGATCTTGTCTCATTCGCTGCTTCCCTCGTTGTACACACCAAATGCACTTAAAAGAACACATTTGTTACCCACTGACACCATACAAGTCATGCCAAAAGGAAAGGCTAATTATAAGAGTGTTGGACTGCAATAAAGCTTTCAAGGTAGCTTAATGAGAAACAAACAATTTATGTAAATAAAACAATATAGGTTAAGCTTTAATGATGGTTGCACAGAGTACAAATGCAAACATTTCGGCTAATGCCCTCTTCAGTACAACAAAAAACATTCATATAAGAATAACTATATATATATATATGCATATTATATATGTATCCTTCCTAAAAAGAAAAGAAAAGAATGAAATTTATAATTTTACATAGCTCCAATGTCTTTTTCCTGTTTGGTTTTTAAATTTTACTGTCACCCACTTTATTTCCATTCTTCTTTCATTGAAATTATGGACTTATGCCCATTTATTCTTTTCTGGATTCACTGAAAATTTGCAATCTATTTAATGGTATTAGAGAACCATAATGAATTAATAGTTCATCAAAAACATTAAAGCAAATACTTTTTATAGATTAGGTTTTTGTAAGTTTTAATGATGGGTTGACCAGCACATACTTTTCCAAATACATTGACCTAGCGAAACACTCATGAAACACATGTACCTTCCAGGCCTGTATGGTGCATTACTGAGTCCATGTCTGCTTCCCAGAAGGGGGGTTGTAACATCATCCTCATCAATATCATTTTGATTCAGTGAATTATTCATATCGCTTTTGGAAATTATTTTCTCTGAAAATGATTCAATTAAGGCATAAACATTTATCTAATGCTTTGGAAAATCAGTTTCTACAATAATAATACTCCACCAGATTATATTTTTCTTACACTGTATCGCAGGGGTGGACAAATTACGGCTCGGCAACTGATGCAGCTCCCGAGGGCATTTAGAAATTTTTAAAAATTACTTTGTTTTTAAGTTATCTTGTTGAATTTTACAGAATTTCATGTACCGTTATGATTGTTTTAACATTTTTTAAATAAAATTTCATTCCAATTTTCAGTCCTTGACCTTCGTAATGTTATACTAATATGGCAAAATATATATGCGGCCCTCCAATAGCTTTGCATTTGTCAATGTGGCCCTAGGCACACAAAATTTTGCCCATCCCTGCTGTACTGCATACAAATTTTAATTGAAAAACAAGATTTTTAGTTGTTGAAGTTTACTTTATACATCGCAACTCCAAATCACATATTTGGTGTATTTGGCAAAATGATAATAAGTTTAAAAAATAATTTTAACTAATTCTCATGACAAAAATAAAATATATAACCAACTCAACCAAAAAGATGGATATTAATTAAATAAATTACTTTTTCAGATAAGCAATAATCCATGTATTTCACGTGTAAAAAAAAAAAAATAGTACTAATATGCATCACACAGACATGTTCTCCAACCCCTCTAATATTCTTAATGTTTAGGCCTCTCTATATTTATAATATTTTTACATCATAATGTTTGCATAAACTGAATAAAAAGAGACTACTTTTTAAAAAGCATTTCAAGTCATGTGTCCAGTCATTCACAAGATAACAAAAAATATTAGTGTCTTTAAATTGTTTTAAAACACTTAATTACTAATTAATTTTATCATCATAATTAGAATTCATTAATGTCATTGACATAGACATAGAATGATTTATTATTTTATTATAAGCTCTATTGACTTAGCAGCCTACTATCATATGTGTAAATGCTTAGTTGAGAATAAGAAAGTGGGATAGATTATGCGTACAGTTCAATTTCATTGATTCTCAACTATCTATCTAGTAAGTTAAAGATGGGTAGAGTCTCATTTTTTAACATTCAGTTAAGATTTAACTTAAGTAATTCGGCTACTAACAGTATGGTCAAAAGTAAACTTAGTCTTACTTTGGTTGAACTTGCTCAGTTCTTATCCTTCAACATGATGACATTGATTATTGAAATGGTGGAATGATATGTTATAACTTATAGTTGTATCCTTGGGAAATTCCGTCAAATATTTTAGCATTCCTTATCCACTTATTATTATAATATAAGTCACTTTACTAGTTTTAGAGGCTGCAGTTAATACAGACACAGACTTGGGCCTAACTGTAAACGAATATTTATATAATTAAAAAAAGAAGTTATACTATGCTATGGACTATAGAAAATAATAATAATTGAAAATTACAGCTACAACAATACTGGCACTGGATAAATTAAAAATTTATTTTTAATGACTGTATAGGTGTCTGAATGAGGCAGTTTTCGAATTCCATATATATAATAATAGTCAATAATACTATTATATGAATATGAATCAGATAATAATAATATGAACTAGTATATTATTTAGGCACATATATATAAATCATTCTATCGAAGTGGCTATTCGGTCCTGGCTACCAAATACTATTCGGATGTCATTTGTGGTAGTTTATTTTAATTAAACTGAAGAATTAGGTTTACAAAAATATAGTCAATTCAATTATCTTTTATTCGATACCAAATTTTATTTTACAAACCCAAAAATAATATTTAAAATTGTTTTTTAAAAACCCAACCTATCACTTCTGATACCGGGTCTGAATAGGCGCAGCCTTATTATATAGTATAGTAGGTCTAGTCTATTCAAATTCCATATACTGAGAAAAGTGAAATCAATTTAATTAGCACCAGCAATTATCAATGACAATACACTATCACTAGGTAGAACAGTTGAATAGTAAGAACTGTGAAGTAGTATTCGTATGACGTGGGCCAGTACATCACTAATCAGACATAATCAATGAATATAACTGATATAAGATAATCTCAATCAATAGTCGGTGCATTTTGTCTGAGTGAGAGTATGCACACTGAGAGTACCTACAGTTAGTTCAGTGCACTTAGTAGTCCCTTGGTCCCTGGTGTTGTCAACAAGGCTGACAAGCCTTGCAAGGGCGGTTGTGTTGTCGCATAATTTTAACAAATTGTCAATTGATGTCAATAAGTTTGTTCATTCTTGTTTTAAATAGCTCTAGTTCTCTCCTAGAAGTGTGTGTCAACTCCAATATAAATATCTAAAATTATGATTATATATTATTGTGGAGGATATCTAAGGTAAGGAAGGAGGGTAAGGTCATGTTCGAAGGCATATTTATTTGTAGTGATTCGTGATAGTGAATTAAAACATAAACAATAATCTGTTAACTTCTTACGATGAAGAGGTAGCTAAAATCCCCCTCCCACCCACAACCAAATGGCCATAGCACAACCAATGACCATGCCCTACTTACCAGGACAGTCACGTGACGGACCGCCAGTGGATTTATACTTTAAAACATTATCAGCCAAAACTAAAACAATAATCAGCTGATCCTGACAAGAGGATCTCCCGAGCATTTGGGTCTGGTTTCACATTCACAGGATTCTCAAATTTATATAATAACTTGGTCCAAAATTGGTCTGACATTGCTGAATGAAGCATTTTCATTGAAGCCAACCCAATAGACATAGAGTTAAAAGACCAATCATCAAAGGTTGCCTGGGGCAGACCTAGGTTTGCCTTAATAATGTTCATTAAAATGAAATGCACCGCGCCACTTTTTTTTTCTTTAAAACCTTAAAATTACACCCTTTTAAGAATTAAAAAAAAATTTTTTGTGCATCGTAAAGGTTAAAGTATTGTTTCAACTTTCAATACAGATAAACACACTTTTTTTTCTTCCAGATCTGTATGCTAAATACTGTGTCTGAACCTAATGCACCACTAACGCACTATTAAGAACGATTCATTTAGTTCAGACAATCCAGAGATGTATTCGCTAACATGCCACTTCCTAGCAAACAAGACCCTTGGTAATAGCTGGGTCCCCGACAGCAGAGTATGGTGACCCAATCGCCAACCGAGCATTGCCCTATCAACACATAGGCTAGACAATAACAGGGATCCGACCTGCCGGCATTGCGGCCTGGTCCCAGAAACTCTAGCACATCTGTTGACCGAATGTCCGTCACTAGACTTTCAGGGGAGGCCAGAGCCGTTTGACGACAATGTTATACGGCACAGCTTAGCAGATGAAGCTGGTTGCCCATATGGAACTGGTTGCCCAGATGGAACTGGTTGCTCATGTACAAGCTGAGGTTTAAGCGTAAGCTTAAACCTCCACTAGAATATGTGTGATAGTTAGTTCAGACAATCGGTTCACTGAAAAGAACACTCAATAAATACAAATATAAAGATTTGATTCCTCGTTTTAACTTCTTACAAAGATGTGCTACTAATGACAACATGGGCACCCGCAGAAAACTTTCTAGGGGGGGGGGGGCAAAAAAAAGGGTTAACTTTC